ATACTCATTAGACAAACCTCTGCAACCTCTCTAGCACATTTGAAACTGCATACAAACAACCTACTAAATGCTTTCATTTTAGAAGTTCTCCTTCTTATTCCCATCAGTTGCACACACCATGATTTGATTTCTCTTGTGTTTAGTACATGGATTGCAAGAAGAGGGAGGCCTGAGGGAACCAAAACATAAACTACACCATCTGGCCTTGCAAGAAAATCAGTTTCTTTCCCTCAGCAGTAATAAAGGTGTTTTGTAAAATTAATTTCATAGTTAAACAGCAAAACTATGCATTTGTATATAAATTTCAAGATGGCATGGTGGAAAAGAGAAAAATAGGTTTTATAGAAATAGATAACCAACAGGCAACCAAATCATGCTTTATACTCGAGGTGGCCGATAATAGTATCTGGGTTTTTTTCTTGAGAAGTATCAGTATCCTTAACTCACCGTCAATTTCAAATGATTTTCCTGCCCATACAGAGAAAGGGCAGTTCTCTTTTAGCCCAGCAGGGAGATACAGGCTGAGTAGCCCTTGTCTGAAATCCTTGGGATTTGGATTTTGGATTTCTGGACATTTGCACATCCATGATGTGATATTTTTTGGGATAAGACTCAGCTTTAAATTAAAAAAAACATTTATCTTTCATATATACTTTATACATGTGGTCTGAAGTTAATATTATGCACAGTATTCTTAACGTGTGCATATTCAATTACCAAAAAGCAAAAGTGTAATTATCTCAGTCCCCCATGTGAACAAATTTGGATTTTGGAGAATTTGGAGTTCAGATTTCTGAAGAAGAGAGGCTCAACCTGTAATGACATTTTGCAAGTTTGGATGTGACCAAATCTGAACTTTTGAAAGCCTCCTCTCAGCCCAAACAGGGAGAGAAGGCAGCCTGTGTCCAGTCAAGCTTTCAAAAGGTTCCCTCTGTATGTGCATGTGATAGAAAGAGATGGTGATTGTAATCAAACTGTTCCTCATTTCTCTCTCAAAACTAAAATCTAGCCAATATAAGCTATTGGTGGATCTTTTAAAAAGTGGTGGCTGTACCCCCAGGAACTTGGAGCCCCACACACATTCTTTCAGAAAGCAAAATCGTTCTGATTTATATAAATAAAGTCTGTATCCATAAAATAAAGGTTTTAAAAGAAAGGGCCACAAATGGTCTTATCCTAATATTTATGGTAAAGAAATCCATGACAAATTCACACATTAAAAACAAAAGAGCCTCTATACTACTTCATCCATCATGGAAAGATAAGAAAATAAATTCTCATTACACATGACAATATCAGAATTAAAAGGAAGAGAAACACAAAATATTCTTAGAGGATGCCTGAGAAATAATACCTGCCATCATTATTTGCTTTGCTAGATAAATAAAATTAATCTGACAGCTTTTATATATGTGATTGTCACTCGAGTGGCACTAAACATTTACTCAGGTTTTCGAAGAAATGTATGATCCAGATTCTGAAAATAACACAGCCAAACAGCTAATACCATATTTGAACACAATTCCTCATTAAATATAGACACATGGCTTTTAGAGAGCAATTTAACAGGGTTATGGAAAGTCAAACTTGACAAATAACAAGCAAAACATTTAATACATAAATGACAATGAGCAAATGGAACTTACAAATAGGACTCAAGCACAATTTTAAATGAAACATAAAATAAAGAAGTAAAATCACTCCACAGACAACTCTAAATCTGCCAGTTCAAGAGGATGGCAGTTGTAATATTCTTAACATATTAGTGAGTTGTAATTTCAATCATATCTGATAGAGATATTATGGGCTGCTCTCTATTAAGTGTATGTAGGTTGGGTCTGCTTTATCCAGAAATCTGAAATACTTTAAAAAATCTCTCTCCTTTGTTTGACGTCCACCTCTAGTTTTGAGAAAAGAGAGCTAGTTACACACTGTATTTTTCCTCAAGAACCTCACTGACCAGCACTGATAGAATTTAATGCAGATGATTGCTGAGCCATGACAGTGAAACATGTCAAATTCTAGTTAATTCTAGTGTAGATGCAACCATTTTCTAGCCTTAACCTCAAACATAATGTAGTGATATGCTCACCTCAAGATCATAGAATAATAGAGTTGGAAGAGACCACATGGGCCATCTAGTCCAAACCCCTGACATGCAGGAAAAGCACAAAGCACACCCAACAGATGGCCATCCAGCCTCTGCTTAAAAGCCTCCAAGGAAAGAGTCTTCGCCACACTCCAAGGCAGAAAGTTCCACTGTTGAACAGCTCATACCATCAGGAAGTCCTTCCTAATATTCAGGTGGCATCTCCTTTTCCTGTAATTTGAACCCATTGTTCCAAGTCCTAGTCTCCAGGGCAGCAGAAAACAAGCCTGCTCCCTCTTCCTTATGACATCCTTTCATATATTCATACATGGCTATCATGTCTCCTTTCAACGTTCTCTTCTGCAGGCTAAACATACTCAGCTTTTTGAACTGCTTCTCATAGGGCTTGGTCTCCAGATCTTTGATCATTTTAGTCACCCTTCCTGGACACCTTCCAGCTTGTCAATATCCCTCTTGAATTGTGGTGCCCAGAATTGGAAATAGTATAAAAGATTCCAATCTACCACTGCAAGCTACTCAGTTGGTTAATTAATCAATTAATTAAATACCATCAAATCAAACTGACACCTCTATTGCCCTCAAGAGTACTTTAAAAGGAGTCATAGCTTCTAGAGCAGTGATGGTGAACCTTTTAGTGACCAAGTGCCCAAACTTCAATCCAAAATCTGATTATTTATCGCAAAGTGCCAACACAGCAATTTAACCTGAATATAGAGGTTTTCACTTAGAAAAAAACAACATATACATTAGTATCTTTTGCCTTAAAAGAAAAACACAATAACAGAGCTTTCAATTATACAAACAATGTTTTATTGAAAGGTAAAAGTTTGCATTTGGAATGCTTTTGAATAATTAATGTATTTTTTGCTGTTGTGTACATGCCGATAATTTGTTTAAACTTTGCTCATACTTTCTAAGTTTGAGAGCAATACATACACCACTCAGGTCATCTGTTAGTCTGTTTCTGGTGTCAGATTTGATACAATTCAAAGCTGAAAACAGCTGCTCATAAGTATAAGATGACCCAAACAAAGTAAGGAAAGCAATCTGAATTGCTTTCACTGAATTAAAATTATTTAGCAGAAAATTCCACACTTTATGAATTTCATTTTCAGAACTAACTGTGCTATCCTTTGTCATCCCTTCTATCTTCTCAAGTGTTTCACTCAGATCACAGAATTTATTTTTCCAGATAGAGCCTTCCTGAAATTCCAATAGTTCCATTGCCAGATTTCCTAAATCCAACCAGTATAAGCAAGAAAGATCAAGTTCTTCAAATTTGAAGAATCTGTAAGTTAAATTTGTGTGTCAGTCGGAACAGGTACATTTTCAGATGTAACTCCAGACAAAAAAATGTTTTGAAATGGGCGAACACCCCTGTAACATTTCTTTTGTGTCTATGCCCCTGTTCAGAAGATTTCATCTCACTTTCTGTCCCCGTGATAACTGGATTTTGAAAAATTTGGCCTGTTGTGGAAACAAGGATTGATGCCAAAGGATTGATGTCATTGGTTCGCCACCACTGTTCTACAGGGTGAAAGGTGATATACCAGGTGTAAACAGGTGCCACTAATTGCCAGCATCCTTGATGATCACAGCACTAATGAATATCACAGCAAAAAAAAAATGTAGAACTACATCTGAAAACTCAAATGGACTGAAGAACCAACTGTTCTGCCAGTTATGTGCCAGAGATGCCCAAAAGAAAATATAAAGATCTAAAAATTTACTGTAATCTCTACTTCTCTTACTGCAGGCTCTCACTAAGCATCAGACCATAGAAGTAAGAAAGACTTCTATCCTACCCATTCCAGGCTTTATGTCTTTCTCACAGAAAATATTGACTGAGTTCCCCAAAAACACACTTTCATGTCACTGCGTTTCATCAATATCTTTTGCAATTTGATGTGAAATGGGCTAATACATTGTGGAAGAACTATAGACAGGAGGATCTAGTGTAGTGGGTATCCTGCAGTTATGGGGGATGTCTTATAACACCTCACTTCCAGCTGAGCTTTGAGGTCTTAGAAACAACAGTCTGGTTAAGTTCTGCCCTGAAGCATTCAACCACTGTGTATGATCTATTTCTTTCTATAATCTACCCCAGTAACCAAACATAGACACAAAGAAACCATGCTAGAAGATCTTAATTTGTGTATATCGGCCCATAGGTATATTGAATTTTTGCTAAAATAACTGGCAAAGTGGCAACTGTTTTCTAAATTAACAGATGTTAGAAAGCATAGACCAATAAGCCTGAGATAAAATTCATGGGTTTCTTATGCCCTTGATTCTACAACAAAGTAAAGATAATTCATTTGATGACTCAGGCTACCAGCCAAATATCAAAAGAACCACTAAAGCATTTTTATTCAATGCTACTATAAGAATTATAACCAAAATTGATTTGAAGTCCTGGGACATCTGGATGGAGAATATAGTGAGTTACTGGTTATCTGAAGATTTCATGGGATATGATAGAAAAAGTTAAGAAGGTTTAAGCATATTGATTGCAATATGCAGATGGAATAGCGGCTAACATAGTTATAGGAACTGAAATTTATAGCATGTTAAGATCTTAAAAGGATTTTTTAAAAACGAAGTATTGCTGGTACAGTAAGTTGGAAGAAAAATGTATACATGCAGGGCCGTAGCCAGAGGGGGCGGAGGTTTAAAAGTTCAACCCCACTCTGAAATGTGTCAGAAACCTGGTGTACTCATAAATTGGTTAACCAGCTAAAATTCATGAGTAAACCAGGTATCTTAACCACATTAAATGATTGTATATATCAGGTTGAATGATGTGATACATTTCAACAGTATTAGCAAAATATTTGCACTGAAAGTTACAACTTTTTTCAAAAGCATCAACAAACAAAAAGATACTCACCTGCCGGTGACAAATTGTAACAGCAAAACCCGTTCTTCCTGAGACAATTCTTCTACAACTTCCCAAAACCACTAGATGAAAAAGAAATCAGCTTGGATTTTTTGTTGAATATTAAATAGAAATAAAAAACAACCATGCTTCAAAAGCTGAACATGTGATTTAAGTTATGGAAATTAATTTCCACTTGACTCAAACAACTCTATTATGCTTCATTCCCAAGATACCAGAGACTTAAAGAGTTTTGTTCCAAGCCTAGAAAAACAAGTCTCTGAAATTCATAATTGTCTGCAAACATCCCATGGAGATATTACCTGAATAACTGGGTCATCTTTTTCATAGCCACTTGTGTATTCTGTATTTTTTATCCAATCACTCACATCGATTTCTGGCATGCCTGAAAGCAGGAGTTCCTTCAAAAAAGAAGGCACAGAAGCAAGAAAATGAAGACAACACTCTACCACTCCCAATTTTTATTTCAAATCAATTCACTGTTGGTCTAATGTTGTATTAATCTGTTGTTTTTAAGGAAACCAGCTCAGTACTATTTCAAAATTATAACCAAATACTATGAATTCAAATCAACGTGAGATTTTCTCATTACCGAAAACAGACACTTGAGTCACACAACAACTTCTGAAACACCAAAAACACCTGAAGCCTCCAATAAAATTAAAAATAAAACCCTCTCCAAGTTAAATATGATACCACTTCTGCGGGAAGGTAACAACGCTCCATGCAGTTATGCTGGCCACATGACCTTGGAGGTGTTTACGGACTATGCTGGCTCTTCAGCTTAGAAATGGAGATGAGCACTACTCCCCAGAGTCGGACATGGTTAGACTTAATGTAAGGGGAAATCTTTACTTTTACCTTTTACTCCAAGTTAATAAATGTGGTCTTTCGAGATCACTAGCTTCTGCGCCATTCATGAAAAGGAATACTTTTTTTCAATGTGAATGCTTTAATTTGCTTACCAGTTCATATTCATCAAATAGTTGTATCAGAGGTGGTGGAATGAACATATGGAAGCCTTGCAGAAAAGCATTTATCTGTGGCTGAATGGCTCTTGTCATTCGAAGCTCAGTAACAAGTTGAACATATTCTGCCTGAAAAAAAATGTTAATATCACACTTTCAGTTTAATTAGAGTTCAAATGCTTTAGTCACTAATTTAAAACCATTTCAATACAATTTGAAAACTAAATGCAGAGGAGTCTGAACAAAAGGATGCCTAATACAGGATTTTCAGAAAGATTACAAAATCCCACTGAGTGGAAGAGATGGTCTGAAATAATTTTAGTAAAACTACAAACAACTACAACAGCCAAGAAAAACGTGATTAAAGATTAAAGAAGAGAAATTACAAGAAGAGTTTTGAGATCCATTAATGCTATGTTTTTGTGGTTCTTGGCATTTTAAAAGTATTCCCCAGTGTTATCGTTCACATGTTACTTGCACATACATTTTCTTAATCTTTAAGTGAGAGCAATACTTCACTGACTTTAATTGTAATGGAAGACATAATATGCACAGCAATAACTGCAATGAACAGTTAGAAAAAATAACAAAAAGCTGGGGAAAGGGTTCCCTCTGGAGCATTAGCTTCACATAACAACTTCATTTCTGCAAGGAGCAATAAAGGGCATATCCACATTTGCTGATATTTCTGAACAGAAAGATATTGCTGAAATACTGCTAACACATAATAAGTAGCACATTTTAACTACAAAAAAACCCCCACCTCTTCTAGGATCACCTACTTAAGTCTGAATTACCCTGTTCTGCTAATGTGTAAGTCTAGAAATGTTAGTAAAAAATATCAGCTCAAAAATCTTTTGTCAACTGTATCCACAAGTCAATGTGATTACTGTGTGTTAGCTCTTATTAAAAAAAAATTAAAATTCCTTTCTCTGAGTAGAGTGGCAAATGGTAACAATGTGTCCCAAGAGAAACTAAAAGAACCACCGACTCCTATTCTCTATGCCATGGTGCCACTTCTAAGTGGGGAAATGGTAATACTATCCAGGGACCACTAGCCCTGAGGGAGGATCAGTGCTTTTCCTCTCTATGGAATGACCTTCGACATATCCATGGGTCATATCAAAATCTGTAATTTCGGTCCCAAAATCTGTCATCCATTTATGCATGAGTATATATCAGGGCTGGGCAAACTTCAGCCCTACAGGTGTTTGGGACTTCAACACCCACAATTCCTAATAGCCGGTAGTTTGTCCACACCTGGTATATATGGTTGTACAGTATGAAGAGTTTCACAGCGGCCTTTCCCAATGTGACTTCCCCTTAAAATGTGGAGCACATCTCCTTTATTTCCAGCTGACATGGCTAGCAAGAGTGGCAAGGAGTTGTAGTCCACAGGCGTCTAGTTAGAGAAGGCTGAGCCAACTTTTTTTACAGTGAAAGAAATCTAAGACAGTGAAACAATGTGGATGGGTTAAAGTTTGCTTTAATAATTCGTACTATGCCCACATTCAAACTGACAATTGAATAAGTTATTTTTTTCACAACTCTTCTTTCATAGTGATTTGATGGAATAAATAGGATGGAATAATATTATAAACTGTTCCCTAATGCCTTGACCTTATTACCATCTTCACTCAGAAAGGCAACCACAGTGTGTCATGTTTATGGCATATCCTTTTCAGATTTGAAACTGACACATTTAAGAAAATGGTTGGCTACACGCCTTTAAGATTCTGCCTTTCACCTCTCCCGTTGATACTACGACCCTTATAAGAAGTGCAAAACTGAAATGAGATCATGTGCAATTCTCGTGTGTGATGAGCAGAAATCTGTTCCCAAAAAGCTGCTACAAGAACTTGACAGGAGATCACACAGATCTCCTTGCTTTTCAGACAGTGGAGGATGAAACTGCCATATGTTGACATTGATGGCATGCTTTTCCCTACTCATCTTGATACACATTGTTGATTAAGTTAGCATAACGTTTTCACTTGAGAATAAAGAATTCCAAAAAAAAAAAAAAACACCCATATTCAACATATTGACAAGTGATTCATAATTTTAAAGAAAATCACTCCAATATCTACATATCGAATTTAAATTAATTCCTACTCTTTGTTGACTATAAAAAATATTTTTGGTTTTAACAGTGTTGTGCATATATTTAAAAGCTACCTTTTTCTCTGGTCTCTTATCTGCTAAATTCTGCTACAACCATTCCCAATTTTTTTATGGCTAACAAGTACTACCATGCAAGTGGTACAGCAACAGGAGACCACTAAGAGAATTACATTTCAGTGCTCCCTCAGATTTAATTTGATATGGTCAGACTTCCCAACCTGTAATAATCTCATTCTATCTCTAAAATTCTTTACCAGCAATAAAATTTCTTATCGCTATAGCTTGGTTTTACATCTAGAGTCATGCAGAAATGCAAGACAAGAATGTGTTCTTAAAAACCTGGTCTCCTTTCAAACAACATAATAAAGAACATGAAGAATCTGGAGACAAACTCTGAAGAAGCATAGTTTCGTTTTCAATATTGGTTTTATCTCTTTTGAATCATCTGCAATGAAATTGTGTTCACTGCTATCCTTAACAATGAAATTTTAGCTTCATCCTTTTTTGTTTGGTTCTATGCTGCGAGCAAGTTTTGCTACTCTGCCACTGAATACACATGCCCAGTGTGGAATACATCTCACCACATTAAAACAATGGACGTGCCTCTATACCCTACGCCGCTGGAGAAATTGTACGGTTTATTACCACCCAATATCTGCTGGGAAGTAACAACCAGTAATGAAAGGACCAGGGCATTGACATCTCCGGCCCATCTTCTGTTCGGATATCAGCCAGCATACCAACGACTTAAATCAAGAAATAGCTTTCTAAATCTACAGAAACACTCGCAGGAACATCTCAGCAAACAAGAATTCAATAGTGGCAGGTTAAATCCTGGAACCTCAACCAGTGGCTAGACCAGATGAGGGACTCCCTCCTGGGAACACAGAAAGCTGGGCGACCTGGAAGGTGCTGACCAGGCTGCACTCTGGTACCACGAGATGCAAAGCCAATCTTAAGAAATGGGGCTATAAAGTGGAGTCCATGACATGCGAGTGTGGAGAAGAGCAAACCACAGACCACTTACTACAATGCAGTCTGAGCACTGCCACATGCACAATGGAGGACCTTCTTATAGCAACACCAGAGGCACTCTAAGTAGCCAGCTTCTGGTCAAAGGAAATTTAGCATAATGCCAAGTTTTTAATTTTGTATGTGGTTTCTTATGTGTTCTAACTGTATTCTCAATTCGCTTCTGACACGATAAATAAATAAAACCATTTTTGTTTTGTTTTTTGTTTTACTGTGGAAGCATACTTTATTCCCAGCAAAGAGAATTCTGCCAGTTAGGAGTTTCTCTTTGCTTTTAGTTAACTCCCTCTACACCGAAACACTTATTGCAAAGAACATTAGCATTGGTGTTATTATTTCTATAATTTCATTAAAGTGGAACTTCACATAAAAAGTCCTTGCCCATGAGAAATTACTACACAAGATCAAGAAAGGGAAGGGAAGTCTTGGTGCAGCTTCAACAAATTAGTACCTATACACTGACTGGCAATTATAGTGCTCTGTCATGGAGCCTTCCTTCTTCAGGTCTCTGGGAAGCTAGTGAACCCAGTATACATCAGCCTTGGTTAAGTCTGATGAACATGAGAAAGGCTTTTTCATCCTTCAATAACATTGCATTTGAGTAAAATCCCATCCATGGCATAGGACACAAGAAAGCAACATCCTTCGACTTTATGGCCCTGGATGTTCAAACTTTCACTTTGCATCCCTTACTTCTAAACTTTAAGTTTGGCAGTTGAGATGCCTACTTCAAACAGCTCCCCTGCAATAACCATGAATTACTAAATTATATACAAGCTCCAGTGTGTGTATATGCCTTCAAGTCACCTACTGACTTATGGTGACACATGAATTTCATCAGGGTTTTTTTTAAGCAAGGCGTGCACAAAAGGTGGTTTTGCCAGCCTCTTCCTATGAAATGTGCCCTACAACATCTGGAATTTATTTGTGATCTCCCATCCAATTACTAACCTGGTATCCAACAATTATTTCTACTGACAAGAAATGTATTCTTGCTGAGGGTGCCTCTGAAGGAATGCACAGAGCCTTTCCTTTTCAAGACAACAATGAAATTCTGTCCCTTTCACAGAATTAATGGCAAAAGCTAGTAATACTGAAGGCTGACTCCTCTCTTTCTGAAAATTAACCTCACTTCTATGATATGCCACAGCACAGTAAAGCAAACACCTGCTTTCAAAACCAGAACTGAAAAAGGTGCGAGACACTTTCTCCCAAAGAAATTAATTCCAGATTTTTCTCTTCCCTGCAGCATCTTCCCTTCATAATTCAGTCTCTTGGTTTGTCGTCTTAATCAAGCTTTAATTCTTCTGTGGAAAAGTAAGCTGATGTGGGTCTAACTAATGAAGATGGAAGAACTGCAGACAGACATGCAAAGGGGTATTTTTAAATTGCCTTAAGTCTTTCCCATCTTATCATATGTCCACCCTTCCATCCAAACTATGATTCCAGGAAGCTAGCAATAAGAAAGTCCAGATTAAGCAGAAATATTAATTAAAATTGAATGATTTGTTTTTCATTGTTGTTTTTCCCCCTATAACCATGCACATGTACTGAGGTTGTCAAGGACAGAAGTATGTGCAGCCACACACACGCATACATCAGTATCTCTGTGAAACTCAATCACACATTTTGTTTTGCCATAAAGGCACTGAACGTTCTGAACACATTTGGAAAAATCCCCAGAGCCCCACTTTTATAATCAACAAGATGTTCACATTTGAAGAACACCTGTATTTCAAAGCTGTTTGAAATGGGAGCATTTTTTATCCTCCAACAGCTTAACAGGTGCTGAGGTAAGCTATCTGAAGGAATGCAGGACATAATTAAAAGAAGATAGGAAAATCCCTGAGGTAATACAATTCTGACTTATGCTTCTCAAATATTCTGTTACTTCTATTAGACCCAAAAGGAGTTTCAAAAAAAACCCAGTTACATGGCAACATAATGGCAAAGTCAAAGAAACTGAATTAAAGGATATAGGATTTATACCAAACTCTCTTCTGAGGCTTCATTTTTCATGGGGCAAACTCGTTGCTGTATATATAATACAGGTTCTTCAGAGGAAGGTTGATACTGAAATAAGGGCCAATATTCTTCCCCCGATCTACTATTCCCAAAGCACATGATGTCCCTTCTCTTCATGATTTGTTCATACAAATCACCATAGTTTTAAATATCTCAATTCCTGCAAACATAACTACTGTTTTTCCATCTGGCAATGAAAGAGTAATCAGCCACCATACTGGAAAAATCCAATGGCTAATTTCAAATTAGAATAGAACATCTTACACACAAGCACTGCTGTACAACAAACAGCATATTTATAGTATCAATGTTGAAAGAACAGACTAATTATGCAGATGTAGTTTTATCAGTTCTGCAAAATACACTAGCACCAAAGTTCTTCTACAACTGCCACAATCATCTTCACTCAAATGATAATTTAATCTAAAGCTATAGCTACACTGGCAGAGAAACAACAAAAACCTCAAGGGGAGAATATCATAATTTTAATGCTAATTGCAAACAAAATGGTTAACCAAAGGGGCACTCATTCTTCAGTGTCAAGATTTGGAATTCTTTATTCCAAAACAATTAAGCAAATTCTCAATTAAACAATTTCTCTAGGATTGAACCCTTGCCTTTTCTGCTCACTTTACCAAGTATTGTGCTTCTTTGATGGTTCAGATCTGTGAAGAACATGAGGTAGCTCTCCCAAGCTGAAGTGGGTCACTTTAAGGGCAACTCTACATTTTATTGGTTGTATGATGCACTGCTTTTAATTCTTCCACACATACAATGATATACAAATGGCACAATAAATAGATGGATGTTATATCACAGGCCACCAACAATTCAATTCTTCAATGCCCTGGTTGTTTATTTTCATACAGGTTTTGCAGAATGCACTACCAAATAGCATAAAATATTTGGAAGATCATGATGAGTTGTTAAATATACATAAAAATACTAAAATGAAAAAGCAAAAGTAAAGTGACACCAAGTGGTCAGTGACTAACATGACAAACATTTTCCTAATCTATAAATGATAGAGCAAAATAGATAACACAGATTGATGAATATCCCTAGAAATATTGTAAAATTAGCCACCCCTGGCTGCTACTGCCATTTTCCCACCAAAACATTCAAAAAGCTTGGAAAACCTTGCCCAGTCATCAATAGCTGTGCTTCAAAGTGGAATGAGGTCTCAAGTGGAGTGTCCCTGAATTCTATCTTAGGACCATTACTTTTCCACATTTTTTCAGTGACTTAGATGATGAAATAGAGGGAATCCTTATCTTGCGTTATGCAGATGACACTAAACTGAAAGATGTTACCAACACACTGGAAGATAGGAACAATTCAAAAGGGCCCATATAAACTAGAAATTTTGGCAGAAATTAATAAAATGAAATTCAATAGAGAAAAATGCAAACATTTATTTAGGCAACAAACACCAAATGCATAAGCATAGGATGGGTATACATGGCTCAGTAGTTTTACATGCAAAAAGGGACCAGCAGTACTCGTATAAAGCAAATACAGTGATACTGTGAGTTAAAAGCTTGTTACATGACTGAGCTCTTAACTCAAATTTCTCTTATCTCAAAGCAAAATTTCCACTAAAGTGCACTGAAATGCTATTACTCTATTCTGCCCCCCCCCAAAGTTGCCCCCCTATATGTTTACATGTTTTTAAATTAGAAAATGTGATTTATAAATAACAAATAATGTATTAATGCATATTCACATGGAACAATAAAGAAAGATCAATTTTAAAATGGCAGAAGCACGAAGTTGTGGCCAGGAACTACAAAGTGAAGAGGCAGAATCATCATTTTCCTCATACTGTACTCATTCCAGCCTCCCTCCCTCTCTTGCTCTCTCTCCCTCTCCCTTTTCATTAAGCCAAACATACCAGGAATACAAAACTACACAAAATCCACTAACCTAAAATTCCTAAAAGAGGACAAGATAAAAGCGAACAACAATCTCCCAAAGCGGACAAAAGCATGGGGCATGGACGCACAAGGCATGGAGGCTGCTCCCTTGAAGCCCTAAAGCTCTCTACTCTCACACCTACACTCCCCCTTGCACTAGCTCTTAACTCAAAATGCTGCTTTTATGGCAAAGCAAAACCCGGGCTGAGCAGCAGCTCTCAATTCAAATCACCTTTAGGTTGGGATTCTCTTAAGCTGAGATGATATGCATTAATAGAAGAATAGTTTCCAAATTATTATTTTTAATTATTTATTTACTTCATTTATATACCGCTTTTCTCACCCTGGGGGGACTCAAAGCGGTTTCCAACATATTCACAGCAAAATCAAGGGAAGTTATATACTGTCCCATTATATTCTGTGCTGGTCAAGACTCATCTGAAGTATGGTGTTCAGTTCATGGGACCTCCTTTAAAGAAGGATTAGAAAAGTTGGAGCAGTTTCAGAAAAGGGTAACAGGCAAGGTAAGAAGTATGGAGAACAAAACATATGAATAAGGTTGACAGAGCTGGGCATGTTCAACTATGTGAAGAGAAAACTGATGGGTGAATATTATTACACTCTAAATGCATTAAAAGGTATCATGGGGTTTTAATGGCAATTGGTTCCATTATATGGGATTTAATGGTTTGAAGTTAGAGGAGAACAGATTTTGATTGAACATTAGAAGAATCTTATTGATAGCAAGAAGGGTTCAACAAAGAAGCCAGCTGCCCAGAGAGATGGTGAGGTGTCCTTCTCTGGACATCTTTAAAAAGAAGCTGGAGAGCTACCTGCTGGGGTGCGTCATGTATTGAACAGGAGGCTGGACTCAATGGTCCATGAAGCCTAAGTCTATAATACAATGACTCTTTATATATAAACGTTACTTCAACTGCAGCACCTGAAGGAATATATTTCAAATTAATTAATACATGGCAGTACTTACTTCAAAAGCTTTATTTCAGTGTGGTAGTTTATTAAGTTTGCATGCAATTTCTTTACGTTTAAACCATGAAATGTCCTTGGCAATGATTTCACGCTAAAGCTTAGGTAAGGTTGACAGTTCTACATTTTAAGAAAGTAAGTATACAAGCCACTACCCAACTCTGACGTTGGTGCTTCCTTTCAAAGGATAAACAGACTGAGACTATGTGCCAGTGTGTGTCTAAGTGTAAGAAGTCTCTTTTAGCAGCTTACATTTTAATAGGTTTAACTAGAGTAACAGATGGGAAGGAATGGGAGAGGAAAGAAAAGAGTGAGTCCATCTGTCTTTATGTGGGAAGTGTGTAAGAGTGTATACGTAAGAGAGTACGCACTTGTCAATAAATCATGGTCATATTCAGTACGTATATGAAATGAAGTTTCACATGCTACATTCAATAGCTTTTGTTTTTTGGAAAGTCAGGCTAAAACAAAAGAGTAACAGAATTGCTGTTACAAGCCTTATTTTGCCAGGTATCAATATTCTTGCCACAGGAATGTAAGAGATTACTTACATTCCTTCCACCTTGACAATATAATTCAAAACAACTCACTTTGTTTTCCTGTGTGACGAGTATACTTGCACCCCCTGGTTTCAAAGGCACTTCTTCCATTGCTCCAAATACATCCGTCTCAACAGAGAAGGTCAGCTCTAGCCCCAGGTCACTGATATCATTATCTAGAATCCACTGCAAGTTCTTCCCATATTCTGGATCGATATATGCCACATCCTGATAGTTTACAGGAATGCCTTGGAGAACAGACACAACAAAAACATTTTGTTCATATTAGTTCATGAACTGGTTCTATTAATGGTAAAGGACTGCCCTCTACAGACACAAGGAAACAGTGCAGGATACATGGGGGGAAACCACAAAGAAAACACTGATTTTGTTATGAGGTGTTTTGTTGCCACAAAATGAGGCACATATTGAACATTAAAGCTGCATCCACAAAACAGCACATTAAGTGCTGTAGTTAAGAATATGAACTGAGCCCCCCAGGAGATTCCAACTTCTAATAGAAAGCCTTCAGCCCTTACAATGCGGTTGTCACACTTGGCTTCCTTCATCCATATATAATATTGCAAGTCAAATTGGTCTATTTCAGAGAGAAGCTGTAACATCAAGTGGAATGTGTTCTATATAAATGCTTTCAGAAATCTGCTGCAACACCAGTGTAATGCTAGTTTATAATGTCAGATCATTTCCTTATTCTGTAGATATACTGGAAAGCTGAACCCAATGATTCCGGCTATGAAAGCCTTCGACAATACAGCTGAACCTTTATTTGAAAAATAACATTGCAGCTATTGCTTTGCTTGGAAATTGATGGAAGGTATTTTTTTCTAAAAATCAATGTAGCTGGACTAATTATGTTACACATCTATACATTCAGTTGAATGTTAAACATCTAGCGAGAAAAAGTAAAAGCATAATAGAAACATACCAAGAATATGCTTGTAGAATGACCTCGTGAAGTAAATGTTTACCAGTTGTCTGTGATTCAAGGCCAAACCTAAAATTTGTCCAGCAAATCTAAAGTAATTCAAGTGGTCAGGATTAACTGAAGAGTTGCTATTTGGCTGGAAAGTGGTTCCTATAAAAACAAGAAGCATTATGTTTAACATGTTTACAGCACTACTCTTCATTTTGCTTTCTGCAAAAAAGAAAGAAATCACATAACTAAAGGCACACAAAATTCCTGTATTTCAGCACAGGCAAAAAAATAAAATTAAAAGGAAGCAAAATGTATATAAGACATATGTGGAACTTGTTTCCAGATCCATCTCAACACATTTTACAACAATTGAAAAAAACGTGCTAATGTGCATTCTTTTTCTATAAAATACAATTTTCCAGGCTCTATATCAAAGTAATTTGATACATGTTAATAGTTTTTATCAGTATATAATATACTACTCCTAGTCAATAATATGCTGTCAGCTATAACTCATTTTCTTTTCTTTCTTTCTTTCTTTCTTTCTTTCTTTCTTTTTTTTCTTTTTTTTTTTGGATTTTGGAAGCAAACTCCAAATATAGTTTTAATTGAAAATCAAAGTTTCACTTCAAAAGTGAAGATCCAAAGCTAACTTAGCAAAAACCAGTACTGAATTCAACAGAAATTATCTTTAATTAAAAATGCATACAAATGCTCTCTTGAATGCCTGGAATATACAAAAATAGATTTCTATCATTCTAGAGCAATGGTCCTCAACCTATGGGTCCCCAGATGTTTTGGCCTTCAGCTCCCAGAAATCCTAACAGCTGGTAAACTGGCTGGGATTTCTGGGAGTTGTAGGACAAACCACCTGGGAACCCACTGGTTGAGAACCACTGTTCTAGATAAATAAGCACATCAACATATTGTAGCAAAACAACAAAAACCTAATAGATGTATTGTGGCATAGGTCTTCATGGGAAGACTCCACATCCTTTATATTTTGTAATGTAACCCAAAATCAGAAAGTACTGCTGAGAAACATCTTGCATGGATCCATGCAAGCCAAAGGTATCTTCTGGATGAGGGTAAGTCCATGGGTAAATTCTGTTTGGGCATTGTGAAAACAGATAGGCTAAGCATATGGCAAGTTAGAACACTGCCTTCTACAAATGGAAACCAACCTTCTAAAGTGGAAAGCCTTCAGAGAGGCTTTCCTCTTCCAAAAGTAGGCTTCCATGGGAGAAAGCAAAAAATATTGATCTGGGAGAGAGAGCATTCCTTTTCCTTGCTTGTTTGGTCTAGCTACTTTTCCAACCCCTAGTCATGGTTTTAATTCAAGCTGCCTTAAGATGAAAAATGAGGAACCCTAATTCATGTGACATGTAATCAAATAACAAACTTCAAATCCTATACATGACTTTCCATCATTTCATTTCTTGCCTCAAAAATTATGGGTAATTCAGGTTCAAATCTAAAGCTTTCAGAGTGCAAGAATATTTTTGAGAAGAAACAAAATTTCCTGTTCTATATTAACCTAGACGAGTTGTGATAGTTTTAATTTTTTAACCAATATGCAAATCACATTTAATTATACTGACTTTTTTCCAAAATGTATCTGTCTGTCTTTTCATTTTTGTAGTGCTTCCTTGTGGCCAAGGACAGGGTGAAAAATAAGACATAAATAAAGGCGCGCTTGGTGGGGTCGCGGGACAGGGTCTTCTCTGTAGTGGCCCCCCAACTCTGGAACACCCTCCCCAAAGACCTTAGACAGGCCCCTTCATTGGCTATCTTCAGAAAGAACTTTAAAACCTGGCTTTTCCGATGCGCCTTCCCAGATTAGGAAATCTCCACTACCGAGTCCCACAAGCACTTTACCAGAACCAATGATTGCTGCACATCGCACATCGTACTTGCCCTAGTAACCCTCTATACACCTCCTGTCAAATCAGCACTTTTAATCCTTGTACCCACCTTTTGGCCCAGCCCAGTTTTATTGTGTTTTAATGTACTGTGCTTGTTGTTTATTTTGCTTTAATTTGTTTTAATTGTTTGATTTGCTTGATTGTATTGTTATGTTGTATTGTTATGGCTTCTGCCTGTGTAAGCTGCATCGAATCCTCTGGGAGATGCTAGCGGGATACAAATAAAGTTTAATAATAATATAAAAAAAATAAGCAGAAACAGCAAGTGGCTAGGAATAACAAAGGAAGATATTAGCTTACCATCAGCTGATTGAGTGAAGAGAGCATAGTCTGGGTTAACTATTTCATTGGATAAGATATCAAACCATTCACGAACCACACCTTGACCCTAAAGATACAACAATGAGATGTAAGACCTCAATATGTGGTGTATATATTGGTGTCTTGCCCAGATGACTGAACAGTATCACAAAAATATATTCTTTATTTATTTATTTTAGTCCCATGAGAAAACAAGTGGTTTCTATTATGGAGACATGACTCAAACGTCACTTTTCCGTTCTGTTCAGTATCTTTGTGCCAGTCTTAGAATAGAAAACACAGCATCACTACACCAGTGTCCATTAGAACTTTTGAAGGAAGTCACATTCAGCTTATGTTTTTTAAAAATAAATTATTCGCCATTTTAAATATAGTAAAAAACAAGACTTACAATAACAAGAAACAGAAAAAGAGACAAGAAAAGAAAGAGAAAAATAGACACAAAAAGAAAAAAGGGGGGTGGGAAACAAGGGAAAAAAACAAATGTGACTTCCAACCTTCTCAACAGCAGCTAATACTATATCAACCTATAAGTAAAAACTTCCAGTGTGTCTCAGACACGAAATGATCAGAATAGCTTCATATGTCATTGTGCTATTATACAACAATGTTTTATGCCTTCCCCTGCACACACCACAAAACAACAAGCATGTTGTATTGTCGAAGGCTTTCATGGCCAGAATGACTGGGTTGTTGTCAGTTGTAAGTTCTTTGAGGTATGTGGCCATGTTCCAAAACCTCTGAGGATGGCTGCCATAGATGCAGGCAAAATGTCAGGAGAGAATGGTTCTGAAACATGGCCATACACCCCAAAAAACTTACAACCCAACACACACATCCCACCACAGAGTTCAACATAGCCACAGCTCTAGGATAAAAGCTATCCTTCAGTCTGTCTGTCCTTGTCTTTGTCACCCTGTATCAACTGCCAGAAGGTAATAATTTAAAAAAAAAAGAATATGCCAGATGAGATGGAGCCCCAAGAATTCTCTGAGCTTTCTCAAGGGGTCACATCCAGCCCACCAACCTTAGTTTGGGAACCCCTGGGTTACAATTTAGTGCCCCTTACATCTCACAAACAGCAGGAAGAGTTGAGGGATTTCTCCTGCAGTCTCCTCTCTATCTTGTTCCCAGGTGATTGCAAAAGCCCACAGGGATTTGGGGAAAGTTTAAAAACACTCAGGGACACACTTCTCATTTCCCCTTTTTCCAGGAGTAAATTCACAAGTTAGAACTTGCCTCCAAACTGGTGCTTATCATGGCTACTGCCTTCTCCTCCACAAAGTCCCATATGAAATGTATCTACTCTCCATTTGCAGCACTGGAAATCATATTCAGCTGATATTTTGATTAAAAGCGAGAGGTCTGAAAGGACCACACTGATCTGTTAAACATTTTTACTCCACGATGTCTTAGCCTTCAGAAACATTTCTGATTTTATCTGATTTTATCTCTGCCTCCAATCCTAATAATATAGCTAGAGAAGAGGCTTGAATAGATTTTGTTTCTAAGTTTAGAAGAGCTTGCTATGACAGCTTCAGAACTGTTGCTGTAAAGAAAATATTCTTATACGCATCTCCAGAAAACTAAATTTTAGGAATCATGCAATAGGTACATACTCACCATGCCTTCTTCGCCATGGAAACGCACAGCAATTCCCTGTTTCAGCTTTGCATAATTTGCTTTAGACACAACTTCACAGCTGCTCCTAAAAATAGACTCTAAATATGAAAACCAATTAATTTCTTAACTTTGTCAACACAGAAAAAATGTACACGAAGAAAAGGGCACAGGTGAAGCTGCATACCTCTGTGGACCAACAGAATGTCATTTTCATTGACTGGCCTATGAACCATGTCCGAGTCTGGTTGCCCAGAATGCAAGTGCTCATAAAACCATTCACAGCGATCTTTGAAAGGCTAAGGGGAGGAAAAAACATAGACAGGACCAAAACAATTATACATATGATGAGACAGATTGGAATTCAAGGTACAGCTGTTTAATTGGGCACTGAGAAAGACAAGCGTGGAATACACACAGCTCTTTGTAGCAGCAATCATATCATGAATTTGCTTTTAAAACATCTCCCCAGTTGGAAAAAAAATTTCCACATGGTCACAGAGGATTTCTGCTTATGATACAAAAAGGCCTTGACTTTGCAAATCTAGTAAAGATGTTCTCTAAAGTCAACACCTATTTTAAAATCGTTGACCACAGGGCAACTCACTGGATAGCAGCCCTTCCCTTTCAATAATACTACCTCATTAGAACCCTATAGTGCTTTGTCTCCCATATACAGTTTACGAAGAAAAACAGAACTTTAAATGACTTCGTTTAGTGAAGTGAAGTATGTGTAATGAAATTCAGTGCTAACTTAGTATATCCCTTCCTGCAATTAGACTTTACTTTCCTTATCTTTCCACCAGAATACCTCTTTGTACATGATCCAAATATGCCTTGTTGGAAACCCCAATGAAGTGGGAAGACATAGGCAGCACAAGGCAAGTGGGTACTCATTCCAGCCATTGCAAAAACTCCCTCTTCTTTCCACAGTTTACTTTAAGTCTGGTTAAGCACTACAATGTGCATCAACACTAAATAGAAGTTAACTGTTTGGCATTCAAACCTATACAAAACAAAAAAGGAATCTGAGGTACAAGCTTTTAAATTGTTCATGCCAAATATCGCATAATTGAGGATCAAGGTTTTCTTCTCTAACTCATGAGGCTTTTACTAATCTATCTCACAGAATTATTGCAAAGATAAGAGGAGCTACCAGGTAGGCAGTCATGAGTTATATGAAGGCAAAGTGGGATATCTCCAATAAAAATAAAAATAGAAAGGGAGAGAAATAGAAAAGGTTTTCAGCATCTACATAAATCCTACATTTGCATCATAGTATTATAGGACACTAGCACTGTGGAAAAGCCAATGTATGCTTTTGTCAAAAATTTCTTTAGGAACAATAAAAGCAAAGGCTAACTTTTTTTTTGGTAAAGTTCTTGAGATTATGCCATCAGAAAGACAAAAAAACCCTGAACCTAGTCACACAATATTAATAGAGTAGATAGCAATTGAAACGGCATAATCTCTCTGTGTTGGAAACAGAAGAAAAACAAACCAAATGGTGTATCTTCACATTTGACTTAACTATTTTAATCAACAGTCCAGCTGTAACAGATAGGAATCACACAATACTTCAGATGTTATGGACTGCATATCTCAGCAGCCCTAGCAAATATAATGCAATCTAATAACATATGCAGGGCCACATAATACCTATCCCAATCTTTTAAATACTTCTACAGCTATTCCATCCACTACACCATAGTAACTAAACAGCCTGATTCTGTGACTCTGATACTCATCTGGTTTGTTCTGATATACACTCCTTGTTGTACGCATGGTATGACATACACTTGATTTTTAATCACAGGTAATTTTAAAAAAGAAACACCTATGCAGTAGAATTTCAATGACTTAAGGATTAACATCTCAATACATCAGACAAGTAATTAAAGAGAGCAAAGTAGACGCATCATGACAAGTGATTGAACACCACCATTAACACATACTGAAGTGGATTACATTGTATTGCTTTGGATTCAAATCAAGTGATTTAAAAGGCAAGACAATATATTCAGAGACAACAATGTGCGTAAGTGATGGGTTTGTTTTTGTTAGATGAAGACCTCCTAGAGAGAAACACACTTCAGGCTTAGGTACAAGAGACACAGATAAATGAGTGTTTGGTTTTATTTTATTAGTCTCCTAATGTTATGGCCACATATGTTTAAGAACAGTACAGTGGAAATGTAACATTTTGCAGCCTATTATTATTATTATTATTATTATTATTATTATTATATTGATTTATTTATACCCCACTTTATCTCCCCTGAAGGGCACTATTAAATTCTATTAAAATTGAATGTGAAGCTTCACGGCTAAGGACTAATTTGTTGGTAGACATTTTGGGTGGGTTCCACAAATTACATCTTAATCCACAAATTCTCTTCATGAACATGGATAGAATTCTATATCATACATATGCTTATGATCACTACTAGAGCAGAATTTAAGGCTTCACAGCAAGCTCCATAATTTTTAAGTCTTAGTATGAACCAAGTCTGTTTTGGCTGTTACAGTTAATAAGTTTTGTGGAAAGGAGATGTATTTTTTAAACTGTGGCTCCATATTACCTTATCAGCAACTAGGCAATAGGTGCAAGCAGTCAAATAAATAAGAAGATATACAAATATGAACAGTTGCATTTATTCATGGAATGAAGAACATCATGCACAAGCAATCTGGTCCAACACATTCAGAATGGTGTATTTAAGGCTAAAGTTTTAGGACCAAACACCCACTTAGTCAAATATATATTAGACAGTGGATTGGGTGAACCAAGAAATCTTAATAATTGTTATTCAGGGGTAAATTGGCTGGAACATGTGGGAGCTACAGTCCAATAAAATGCATAATCTAACTATTAGTCCCCTTTGAATTAAACCAGTTGTTCTCAACCTGTGGGCGCCCAGATGTTTTGGCCTTCAACTCCCAGAAATCTAACAGCTGGTAAACTGGCTAGGATTTCTGGGAATTGTAGGACAAAATACCTAGGGACCCACAGGTTGAGAACCTCTGGATTAAACCTTTAGAATCAATGGGATTAGCTTAAGTGTTAACTCACTATTGAAAGTGTCTTGTCTGGCAAGAACTAGTTATTAGATCTGAGCCAGAATCTAAACAGAAACATATTATTCCTGAGGAACATATTTACAAGTTTATTAAAGCCACAACATCCAACAATGTTACCTATCTTGAGATATATACACATAGGCGCAGAGAGAGTCACATATAAATAGACCTCTCAGGTACTGTATGTGCTTTAGCCACATGCTATATTAACCATTAAAATTAGATTTTCAACACTCACTTGTGCTTTTATGATGTGCATGAATCTGGACATAAGCTCAGGACACTCAAGAAGAAAGTGGAAATGGTCAAATATAATCTTTGGATTTCTAGGATTAAAAGGACAAGTTGAGATGAAGATAAAAGCCCACAGTTTTATTCAGATAGTATACATCACCAGACTTCAAAGGATTAAAGCAACGCAACATTGCTTCAAACTACAGTATGTGCCAGAACCAGAAATATTGACTCATACATTTTTCAATCAGTAATATCTGACAAATCAATTAAACAGAATGCTTGAGTAGATAAAATATTTTGTCTAAACAGAAGCAATAATTCAAATATGACAAGCAAAAACAACAACAAAATCAGGTTTTTATTTATTTATTTATTTATTTATTTACTTTGTTTTTTCTCCCGTCCTTTCTCCCTCATGGAGGGACTCAGAGCGGCTGAGATATGCCCCTAATGTTAACATGTGTATCTCTATCATTCAATGCTACCATATCCCAGCCAAGTAATGTTCAGTATGACATTTTATGCATTTTGTCAATTTGGATTTTATTTGTTTCTTATTTGTAAGACATATTTTGGTCCAAGTTAGAAGCACCACAGTGATATCCAGTAAAGCCAAGAAAGAAAAGGAAGGAAACCCCACTAAAATAAGAAAAGCATTTTTACTGTGTCCATCCATCAGGGATAGCTTAAATAGCAACAAGACAGGTTTTCTCTGAATGTAAGAAAACACTGAATTCCTGATGACTTGTAAAGATCTGCATACACAGACAGAGTGAAAATTAAAATAATACTGCTAGCCATGATTTATACTAACTATAGTTTAGATACACAAACCAAGGTGTGATCTTCTAAATATGTGACATAGTTTAGAACTGCTTACCCATTTCCCCTTGCCTATGTGCAACTCAACAGGTTCACATCTATGCCAGAGATGCAGCAACTTATGAACACAGAGCAAATACTGTAATTATGATTTCTCATACTACAATTGATCCAGATTATTGTTTGTCACAAACAATAGTTTTCCTTTTATTTACTGACAAACCAAAAATCCTATTTTGTCAATTCAGATATCAATGTGAATTCATAGTCTGCTTTCTTAACAATCTTTAAAGAAATGCATTTACTGCCTTTCAAAATAAAAATACTGCCAGGCTTGCACAAAATAGATAGTGACAGAATCAAAAAACATAGAATAAATTTTTAAAAAAGTGCAAATAGAACTAAGAGAGAAAATCCAGGAAAAATAATATTTGCTTGGTTAGAATTAGCAAGTAAGACTTTCTGGTTAACACATTACAAAAACAAGACTCTGGCACCAATAAAACTGTTTCCATATCACCTTCACCTAAGATAGTGAAAGCACTCAAAAGTGACTCATTCTGGAGAAGGTAACCTTGGTGTACCCCCTTTGAACTGAGTCAATGATGTAGCTTCAAATTTAGGTCCTAAACTTCACTTAAGATGCTTGGTCAAGTGCTCATCACTATTCATTTGTTATGTCTAACTAAGCCTCAGATAAGAATGCTATTTTATCACCTGACAGATTAAAACTACTGATATATCATGAAACATTTCATAAGATTTATTAATTTCTGATGACATACCGGTTTACAAAGCATTTAAGAACATTATCATGTTTGCAGACAAATTCTATGAAGCGAGGAGATGTCATTCTGCAATAAAATGTTCAATCAGGTTAACAAGGCATCCAAATCAGTGTTCTCTTTCCTAGAAGGCAATGCAAACAATTTACTGTCGAACAGCTTCATTAAAAAAATTTACACCAGATCAAACTTTTTTTCTCTAGTGTGCCCATTTGCTAAAAGAATATAGCTTCAAAAATACCACATACTCAAACTGTACTACACACAATGAAGATAGGCTGCAGAAACACTGAATTATGAAAACTGCTTTTAGGAGAAAAGGTCAAACACTTACAAGTTTAATGACAGCTAGAATGTAAAAAGACATGAAAATCTTTAACCAGATTCTGCCTCAAAATACAATCTACCAAACAGTCTCTTTGTGACCTTAAAATAAGTACAGCTAAAGTAACCAACACTGAATTCTTTGAAGGAATGTGACAGTCTCATTGGTTTCATTCTAGAAATTGCTTCTGTATTTGTCAATTTCGAATTTCCAAATTCTGTCCATCTGCTCAAAGGGCAATGCTTGATGCCTGAAAGATTAGAGTAACATCTAGCTTGTGAGCAAGATAGCCTTCCAATACCTCTCAAAGGTGATACTACATTTTATTTCTAAATACACTCTATAATGGTTTTGATAGCATGCAATTGTAGCTATGCTGACAGTTCTAACCAGAACATCAGAAATACGAGTTTCAGCAATTTAGTATTCACAAATATGAAATAAAGGTTACATCATTCTAACTTTGCTTTCTGATGATATAAATAAAAGAAACCAAGAGAATGAACAGCATACTCATATTTCCATAATAGGTTAAAGTAATAAAGACACATACGTTTCCCCTTGAGAACAGTATGCAGCTTGGGTCAATATTTTGTTCCTAAGCAGATCTGGACTTTATTCCCCTGGATAACATTATTTTCAGTTTGCATTATCATTGAATGAACAAGGGCCATGGAACAAATATGTTTTTCTAAGCAATGTGAAAGTGTATATAAGCTAGTTAAGTGAAAACTCAATATGAGGATTCCAAACTATACTATCTGGTGTCTCCTGTTCTCTATAAATCAAGAAATTTACTTATTAAACGGTGTTTTGTTCTCCATTTTTAAACTCCAAAGTCTTCATGTAACAATTAAGAAACAGCTTCATCCCACAGCTCTGCTACCAAAAACATGATCAAATAATTGGCTATATCCTGACTTCACTAAAAGGCAAAATTCTTTCAATACTGGCTTTACACTGAGGATGTGTCCATGTAGATATATTATGCTGTACTGTTATTCCTACAAACAGAAGCAGCTGGTCAGTCCTTTGATTCAGCAAAGATTATTTGTCATTAGCTTGATGCTCCCTGTGAAGCAGAATTGTAACCCAGACACCCCCAGTTCAGACATCACTCAACAAATTGTGTGCACAGCATGGCTATTCAAGTCCACATGGCCAAATATTGAAACAAGGCTAACACAGTATTATTAACAAAAAAACTTTCTCAGAGATTCATCTGATTTGGGGAAATTTCAAAAATCGTGAGAAACCAATGACTATTAGTCAAACAATTTTGGATCTTTTTTATAACTACTAGAATCTATTATCAAAGAACTTGCTGGTATGTACCCTTATCTAGTGGTATTTATATCCCATATTTCTACCAAAAATGGACTCAAGACAGCTTCAGAGTATTTCCATCACTGGATTTATACAATTATTTCCCATTTCATTTTAATGTAATATTTATAACTTAGAGTATATTTCATAACTGAAGCCATATACTATGTACTATTTTGAATTTTTAAATTTTAAAATGTATATGTCCAGAAATGTTAATTAAAAAACCCCAACCAACAAAAACTAGGTCAGCTTATCCATAGGTCAATATACTGTAAGTATTGTGCATTAACTCTTAATAATACTCTTAATAATCCTCTTCTTTGAGTAGAATGATGAAAGGAAAGATCTATCCCTGGAGAATCTAAAAGAAAAACTAACCCCTCTATACTCTCTCCAGTGTGTCACTGCTTCTGTCCTTTTTAAATATCTGGGTGGGGAAATGGCATTGGCGGCAGCCAGGGGCAACTGACCCAGTGAATTGGCATTGGGGCTTTCCCCTTTCTGCAGAATGACCCTCTTATCCATAGGTCATATCATAATCCAAACTTTTGGCCCCAAAACTCTCGGCTTATAAATAAAGTCAAACTATATATAAGTATATCTAGTAGCTTGTATTGTTTGTACAGAATTATCCCAAAACATTATCAAATTCTCAACATGTTGCTTTTGCTTTATAAGTATGCCTACCCTTGGGATTCCCATTTCAAAATATATGCAAAAGGTTTGCAGGAAGACAATTTCTTTACTAAAGCACATTTTCAATTCTCATCAGCATCACTGAGGGGGGAGAAAATAACATCTGCAAAGAAGAAAAGGAAATGCTTGAAAATGAATTCTCCTTACCCTTGAGGCATCTGACAGGAGCAACACATATAAAAAGCTTGAATGACAGCACTGAGCCGGTTTGCTGTTACTGAAATAACATCCTGGCAATCTGCATATGTTTCTTGTGCACTGCCAATTTCATACACTTTAGACTCCCCTACATCTGCAGATAGAGTTCTGCCCTTCTCAGACGGCGCTACATCAAAAATGTGTGCCGGAGCACCCTCGTGCTCATCTGGTCCTTTCTGCTTCAGTAAGATGGAAGTGATATTGGCTGAGTTCCTTTTATTTTTCATCAGCTCTGCTGATATTAAAGCTAACCATTCATCTAATGAGTGCCAGAGTAATTCCAGAGGCTGTAAAGCATAAGACAGATGGGGCAGGGGTGAGAGAGAGATGGAGATATACATGAACACAAAACAGGCCATTAGATATTTCTTTAAATGACAATACTGAAATTCTTGCAATTCCAATGCTCAATAATGAAGTGAAACAGGGCTTTTCTTCCATTCACTTATTCTATTCCTGGCATGTCATCAAGGAAAATAGCCTATTTGATTAAAATGTGGACAGAGAAACATAGAAGCGGCTGGAAAAGTGATTTTGTCAATTTTCAATTTCATTTTACTCTTAATAGTTACTCCATAGACAATGAACTAAAGTGCTGCAGTGAACTGCAAAGGCATAAACTGAATCCTTTTTTAAAAAAAAAAATCTGATGATTATTATTATTATTATTACTATTATACCCCACTTTATCTCTCCTGCAGGAGACTCAAAGTGGCTTACCATAAAAGCATCAGCATACAATTTAAAATATACAAATATGCAAACATATTTAAATATAAACAGTATTTAAAAATTCCCAGTTAAAAACCATTAAAACAAATTCAAAGTTAAAAACCCAAAGGCTTTTGAATGTAGGTGATTTCAGTAGCTGTTGAATGGAGGTTGGCAGCCTGCAGCCCTTCCCATGTTTTCAGACTACAACTATTTATTTATTTATTTATTTATTTCTTGCACTTATTGACCGCCACTCTCAGCCCTAGGGGCGACTCGTGGCGGTGAACAACAACATATAAAGACAATGTACAAAAATCACAACAATACACACCAAAACTACTACTACACATATACTTATACTAAAAATCCGCTTCGCCTAATCCTGGGGTCATAGCCAAATTCGTAGTCATAGTCCATTCTAAGTCGTTCCACAGATACCCTTAGTTGAAGGCCTGCTCGCAGAGCCAAGTTTTCAGGCTCCTGCGAAAGGCTCCTGCGAAAGGCCAACTATCATACTTCCTTATTACTATGTTGTATAAGTCTGGCAGAAGTTCAATTCCAATAGTATCCCAAGGCCCATACATTGTCTATGCCTGCCTAGAGATATCCAAGAAACAATTAGTATTACTACTTTTATTGTCGTGTGCCTTCAAGTCATCTGATTTATGGCAACCCTAAGGTGAACCTAACACAGGGGTTTCTTGGCAAGATTTCTTCAGAGGAAGTTTGCCTTTGCCTATCTCTGAGGCTGACAGGGTGACTTGGCCAAGGCCATCCAATAGGTTTCCATGGTCGAGCAGGGATTTGAAACCTGGTCTTCAAAGTTATGATCCAATGATCAAATGACTATGATGCACTGACTCTTTTCTAATGGCATAGATTTGAATAGATGAGCTGTGTAGTTCTAGGCCTTATTTTCTGGCCAACAAAGCAAAAAAAAAAAAAAAAGCAATTGTAAGTGACCTTGGTAAAGTAAGCAAGCCTAATTTTGGCTACAAAAAGATAAACTTAATAGGTGATATGCACAGAGTGCTAAAACCATTATAGAATTTGTTTTAGGAATTAAGAGGAAATACAACTTTCTTGAAAGTCCTATAATTGTATTCCATTACACAGCATTACTGGTTTGAAGAACTGTATCATTGCAGTATGTGTACACTGCTACATATTACAAAGAAAGGGACAAAAGAGGATTGATTTCCATTAAAGGTTAACAAGGACAAAGTTTCTGAAATCACTTGGTTGATCAAAACATATATAATCAGCCATCTGTGCATCTCATATAATCACATACTTCCCGGGAGCATGGGATCACATCAAGATCCATTTCTTGCACCGCAATGCAAGAATGTGTGTAAGCACACAAATGAAAAGCATATTTAATTTTATGCAAAGCAGTGGAAATAATTTAAAGCAAAAGAAATCAAGAACTTAGCTCCAATGTTTCATTCCCAACACCCCTATCTCAACCTTTCTCTAAGCCCAACAGAGCAATTTTCCAGAACTTCAAACAAAAATAATTCTCAATATATTCCATATGTATCACTACCATGTCAAATACAGGTATTAAAAAGTGATGAAATTAATACAAACTGGGAGCACACACACACACACACACACATATATATATACGCTGCAACAGTTTAATACACTATGAACATATGATGTTCCCAGATGAAATTCAAGCAGAATGAAAAATTATATGGTGATCAAATAAATCATAAATACAAACACACACTAAAGAACTCACACCAACTAAACACATCAAGATATGAGAAACCTGATTAATGAAAGCATGCATAGTGAAAGTCATCTCATGAAGATCTAACTTCCCAATTACATCAATTACTTTCCTGACCTTGAACACTTGGCTTCTTGGTGTTTTATTGCCATTGTAGCCCATGTCATTTCCATTATTGGGAGGGGATGGGCCAAGGCGAAAGACATGACAAAAAATCCTCACAATCCTCAATAGACTCTTCATCTGAGCTTCGTAATTACTTGACAAGCTGGAATGTACAGAACATGAAATGGTTCAACATAACAGAGGATTAAACAACAGTCTGAATTAAAGCAACCATGAAAATATTCAAAGTAGTTACAGGTTAGAGACTCATGCTGCCTATTAAAAGTAAAATCCTCACAGTAGCCATAAGTTACAGACTCAGTCAATTTTCCAGTGACATATTATTACAGTTCCCCTCTCCATCTGGCAATACACCCAATCTGGACATCTTAACACACATTTTCTGGTAATGGATTTAGAGAATGAGATAAGACCACAGTCATTAGCCAATGCAAGTACTGCTTAGAAGTTAGACTTATACAAAGGAGACTCAGCCTCTAGAATCCCCTGAGCAATGAAAGGCAGTGGGTTACCTTCAACCAACCACTCTCACTACAACCTTGTTACCTTATATCTTCTCTGTTGCAGAAAAGAAGACAAAGGGAAGAGGAGAAGCTCATGGATAAAAGATAGAATTTAGATATAACAAATGAAAAGAATATGCCCTTATCCACCTGATAATGACAGGAGAACATGCGTAAGGACAAAAATATATTTTGTTATATACTATGTAAACTCAATATGCATAAATGCCACCAGTATAGTTAACATGGTCATATCAGCTGTTTAGCTTTGACATCTGTCTTCTGACATACTGTAGTACTATCCCTTTCAAACAGACCTAAAGCAGGAAATCCCAGCTACTGAATTCAAATTTAATGATGCTCCGAATATTTAATTTTGCAAAAATAATTATATTTGTTGGTGATATTTACATTACCTGAGAAGTTTATGACCATTTGTTGTAGCCACCTCAGCAAGGCTGGTCAATATTTTAAGGTACTGGTTTTCATTTTGCTGAGACAAATGTTCTAAGACTTGCCGCAACTAGAAAAAAGATTATCACTGAATCTTCACAAACTAATGAAGAATTTTAAATATAATATATATATCAAGAGAGAGAGATTCAATAAAATATGTTTAAAAGATTGACTTCACCAGATTTTTAAAATACGTAATTACCATATAAACCTATGTATAAGTCAACCACAAGGGCAGGTTTGGGAGCCATTGGAGGCCCAGGTGTCGGTGGTGGCCAGGAAGGCCTACACACAGCTAAAGCTTGTGCGCCAGCTGCACACATACCTTGAAAAGCCCAATCGACACAATAAGTCGACACAAGGGGGGGGGGGGTTTGGGGGGGGGTGATTTCTTTTACTAAAATGTGTAGACTTATACATGGATCTATAGGGTAGTTCCATAAAACACTGGACACATTCAGTTTAATGAGATGATATCAGATGGATCAGGCCTGGTTAGTATTTGGATGGAAAATCATTAGGGATGTTTAGGTAGGCCTAGAGAGAATCCTTTTGGAAAATGTGGATGCTGCAACCAGCCAGTCATAGTTGATACTACTGGCACAGACTGAACAATGGTCTGACTCACTGTATGGCAACTCCCATATTTCAATGCAGTTATGCGAATTGTAATCAATCAAGTTAGAATATAAACAAAACCAACAATTCTGAAAATAAAAGGCTTAGAAGCAACCACAATTATCCATAAAATAAGAGAAGCGTTTCTCCTATCGACTTGTTTTTGGTGCCAAATTGCTCCAGCAGACCTAAGCACTGAAGTTAAGTGCTTTTTAGGTCCTTTTGTTTGCAATAAAGCTGTGTTTGAACCTTTAATCTGTGTCTGGCGTTGTTTAAGGCTTCTGGGTCTTGACACAAGGGCTTGTGCAAATGCAAAATTGTAGGGTCGGACCAGAAGTAAAATGCTGGGAACAAAAGCTACCACAGATCTCTTTATCTGAAGGGTGAGAACTGTACAGCTATCCAGATGATATTGGACTACAGCTAACATATTTCTTTAGGAGCAACACCAGAACCATCTCGCCCATAACATTTTAGAAATTCTTCTACTAATAGTGTAATCCTATGTGTGCCTACTCAGCAGGAAGTTTCATTGACCTGAATGGACAGCTTCAGGCAACTTGTAAAACACAGCAACCTAGGACTATAGAATCATAGAATCATAGAATCAAAGAGTTGGAAGAGACCTCATGGGCCATCCAGTCCAACCCCCTGCCAAGAAGCAGGAATATTGCATTCAAATCACCCCTGACAAATGGCCATCCAGCCTCTGCTTAAAAGCTTCCAAAGAAGGAGCCTCCACCACACTCCGGGGCAGAGAGTTCCACTGCTGAACGGCTCTCACAGTCAGGAAGTTCTTCCTAATATTCAGATGGAATCTCCTCTCTTGTAGTTTGAAGCCATTGTTCCGCGTCCTAGTCTCCAAGGAAGCAGAAAACAAGCTTGCTCCCTCCTCCCTGTGGCTTCCTCTCACATATTTATACATAGCTATCATGTCTCCTCTCAGCCTTCTCTTCTTCAGGCTAAACATGCCCAGTTCCCTAAGCCGCTCCTCATATAAACAATGCACATTTATGTGAAAGTAAGTTTCATACTTTGGTACTTCTAAGAAAACACAAATGGGATCAGGCTATAAAAATGGTTTCCTTCTGAGATGCGTTAAAGGAATAACATATTTAGTCATACAATAAGCACCAGTTTGGAGATTCAACAAAGTGAAAATGGATTTACCATATTTTCTCTGAGTTCCTCATTTTGTGTCATTTGAATAATTGTTTGGAAAAGTCTAGGATGGTGCTGTATTAGAATTTCACAAGTCTCTCCATAGCCACCCTGAAAAGGATAGTATTTTTATTTAAGCAATTAGTGTAAGCATATCTTTAAAAAAAACAGTAGAAGTTTCTTAAATGAAGTCAATAGATTAGATGGAACACATAAAGGTGCAGATTTTAAAATGGTTATACAGGTAAGGCATGAATGTCAATCTATTTTTTTAAATTGGTGGCAATTGCTGCCAAATAAATGGTTCAAAAATTAGGTCAATTTTCAGAGAAAGTACTGATGCCCAGAACAAGCTGTCTGAGGGAGAGTGTGTGTGTTAATTTGCCTTGGCTGCCCACTACATAAAGTAATTTCAATTCCAAATTATTGTGTAAACTAGCTCTGGATCTGAGCTTCATGTCTGCTCTCAGGTGAGAAGCTTAGTGAGTACAAGCACAGTAAACTTAAATTCCAAACTGACATTTTACAGCAAACAAAAATAGTCTTCTGCTTCCAAAAAAGGTGATTAGTATGTAACTGCTCTGTTGACAGACTATGGTAAAATGAACTAATTGAAAGCAGAACACTACATACAGGTGACACTTATTAACAACGGTATTGATTCAAATTTTAAGAGTTACTCAAACAAGAATTCAAAATCCACTCAATTTCATTGTAAGTTGCTTTATAGAACACTAGCTAGAAGCCTTTAATCCTATTGTGGTTTTGTGGTATTATGCTTAAACATAACAGGAAATATGCAAATGTCTTGTGAACTAAATTTCCCAAGCTTCTGGATTCTCCTATGAAGGAAAAGACCATAAATTTTCATGTTGTACCATGATAATACATATCCCTGCATCAAACTCATGACACACCCTCTTTGGGCAGATAAAAAGTCTAGAGAGACAGCGATGCAACTTTTCCTATAGCACAGAAAGAACAGCTATACAATCAACAGCACATCCACATAACAGAAGATATCCTCCTCAGACAGACCAACACTAAAGTAATTGGGAAATGTGGTTTAAAACAACATATACAAACTTTTGGTCAGTTTCTACCTGTACACAGAGGTCAAGTGGTGTGACTCCGTTTTTGTCTGGCAAATATTTGGCTCCCCTCATCAGAAGGATTTGTGCAGTATCTCTTTGGCCATGGCTGTATGAAACATGGAGAAGACAAATTTTCTATTTAGTTGCTATTCTGCTACAAGCCAATTCCTTTGATATAGAACAGTTTCAATAAGATAACTGATTTTGTGAAATAATCTTAGTATATAGGAAACAAAGAAGAGTGAATCAAGCGAACTGTATTGTAAGAAATTACTTGTTCACTCAAGTGAAGGAATTTGGTTGTTCTCTTAATGTAGTATCAGAGTATTTTTCTGTCTCCTTTAAAGAAGTATTTAGGCTGAATAGCTAAAGTAGTCTCAAAGTTTAAATGACAGGGTAAATGAACTGTTCTAGAATTAATGTACCATAAGACTTTTCTTAGTAACTAGAACAATATTATTGGTTGGAATTCTGTTGCGGAGATACAAGTGCGTAATTCAAAGTTACACATTCATAACTGTTTAGTATTCACTGTCCCTATGTATTTCCTGGTTTAGAGACACATAAGGATTATGAAAGTCTCCCAGTTCCCACATACTGGGAAGCAGCAACTGCAATCAACAGAGATCCATCCCCCTGTCACTCAGGAAGCAGATGACTGATGTTCCCACCCATGAGCAATATCTTGTGCAAGGTGAAATTGCGAAAAGCTACCAGCTCTGTTTGTTGCAACATAGGCCCATCTACACCTGCTGTAAAATCCAGAATGATGTGGATTATAAAGGGGAATGATGAGAAAAAAACATGCCCCTAATGTGTGCTGCAAAGCACATCCACAAGGAAAACATGTATTTTAAAAAGTCAGAAGAAAGTCCAAAATCAGTGATAAAATGTGCTGCAGACGATCAGTGTACGGACACTGCAGAGCAGCAATTCAGGAGGAATGTGTGCAGCGTTTGTGCAATTAGCATCAGCTCTGGAAAGCTCCATGAGTCACCGTGTAGCCATATAATTCTGGCGATTACACATTCGAAACTCAACAGAATTCCAACCATTATTTTCAGTAACCTTATTCATATTGAAGCAGGTATTTTATGTAAGCAATTTGCCAGAATCCCTTTCACACTATAAAGTGTTAAGAGCTATGATTCCAGATAATGTGCGATTTTATTCAGCTGTGTGGAAGAGGCCATAGTACCATAATTGTATAGTGTGAAAGGACACTGGATCAATTACAAGTGCAAACCTTTGTAACTCCTTGGAAGAAAACTTTGACACAAATATGACAAACTAAAAACAAACAAAAAAGAATCTTCTATTCTAATAGGCAATATTTGGATAAGCAGGAAAAAGCAAGTGGTTTATATTTTTCTAGTTTTCAGAAAGACAACATTATTTCTGTAAAACAACTTTATTTCAAAGAAAAAAAATGCCTTATTACAGTATCATCACTTGCAGCAAAAGGTTGATTTTCCTTTAAAATGAAACTATTATAGAACATCACTAGTAGAAATATCTGAGCTTTCAGTTGCTGGTAAAAAGTCTACCTTAATACAAATGCATGTATTTGAAAGGAACAGGATGAAAATGCTGACAGAGCAAAATATCTGAAAATTGCTTGCTTTGCTAATTCTATATTTGCAAATCCTCAATCCTGCTGAAGGTTCCACATTTCATATAAGTAATGACATAAAAAAAATAGGTTTCAGCTAGAAAAATCAAGAGTTCAGCCCCTTTGAAACTAGATCATAGAACAAATATTAGTTCATTCTGAATGAGGGAAAGAAGGAGCCCTTCAACAATGTTTGCAAAAAATAACCCCTGATCTCTCAGATTTAAAGAATTCCAGTTGGCACAGCCAGGAAAGATGTATGTAAAATAAAGGTAAAGGTCACCCCTGACATTAAGTCTAGTTGTGCCCGACTCTAAGGAGTGGTTCTCATCTCCATTTCTAAGCCAAAGAGCAGGCAATGTCCATAGACACCTCCAAGGTCATGTGGCCAGCATGACTGCATGGAGCACCGTTACCTTCTCGCCAAAGCGGTACCTATTGATCTACTCACATTTGCATGTTTTTGAACTGCTAGGTTGCCAGAAGAAGGGCCTAAAAGCGGGAGCTCACCCTGCTCCCCAGATTCAAACCGCCAATCTTTTGGTCTGCAAGTTCAGCAGCTCAGCGGTTTAACCCACTGTGCCACAAGGGGACCCTTAAGACACCTGTAGTCGTGTATGTGTGTGCGCGCACACACACACACATCTCCAATTTCAGGATGTACTCAACTACTCAGACTAAGAGTAAAACAGAGTAATGCAATTTCATGCCCTCAATAAACTGAAACTGTAATCTGATCAAGACTATCCAATGAGCAGCTATGAATAGATGTTGAAATTGTAAGCCAATACTCTTCCCATTTTCTCAAATGTTTATGAATTTAAATCAATACATTTTCATGTAAGAGTTTTAACATGAAATAGCCATACCTGCAAGCAAAGTAGAGTGGAGTTGCTCCTGAAACATTGGGACGATTAATATCTGCCCCACTATCTAAAAGACATTGAACTGTCTTTTTGAAAGGAATAAAAAAAGAAGTAAATCTACAAGATGATCCACAAGAATAGACAACATATAAATACATATTTTTCGAGATAATGTTTTATATACTGAAAATCACCTTGTGAAAAGATTTTGTGATATATGGAATAGTATAAATATTTAACAATAATTACATAAGACAATTTTTTAAAAAAAATTAAATAAGTTTTTACACAGACAAAAGTATCTGTCATCCACATGAAAAGGAGCAAGTGCTCCTAATTAGTAGGACTAGTCAAGATTCAATAATTCATCAAATCCCTGGTATTTCCTGCTGGTAGTTGCTTTTGCCACATAACAATTACAGTGCCCTATCTACTTGGGTTTGGTTCCAGGACTCTCAATGGCTACCTAAATCCATGGATGCTCATTATATACTGTGATGTAGTAAAATTGTGTCCCTTTTTTAAAATGGGAAAAGCAAGGTTGGCTTGGGGGAGGGCATAATTTCAAAGCCATAGATGGTTAAATCCCTAAGTATAGAATCTATGGCTATAGAAGGCTGACTGTATATATCTAATTCATGGGTGCTCAGGTTTTATTTTATATATAATGAAGAAATAACATTGTGTTCTTTATATAAAATGGCAAAATCAAGGTTCACTTTTAGGAGATAGAAATATAGATATATTCAAGCTATGGACAGTTGAGTTCATGGATGAAGAATCCCTAGATACGAAGTGCCAACTGTAGCTTCTTCGGTATTAGTGTGTTAGCACCTTCAGTGAATGACTTACCGTCTTGTGACCATTTTGGCAAGCCACATGAAGTGCTGTCTGACCCATTGCATCTTCAACATCTATATTTGTAACATGCTGTACAAGATCATGAAGCAATTCTGTTCGGCCATTAACAGCAAGCCAATGAATCTAGGTACAAATAGCAACCAAAACAAACTTCCAGTAAGCAAATAAAGTGAATACGATTTGATATGAATGTATTTATTCATTCAATTCTTTCATATGCCCCATCTTTTTTCCCAGACTAGGCTTCAAAAACATAGAGAGTGATATCAACCTTATTTAAATGCAGTCACCAGTCAACAGAAAAAATTTCCAGAACACAAAATATATCATTTCTATATTTATAACTACTGATTACTATTAGTAAAAGATCAAACAATGGAAAAAAAAACAAGATTAGTAATGTTTATGAAAGAGAAATGTTTAAATACTTAAACATCATAGGAATGAAACAAGATTACTAACTTACTGCTGTCAGGCCTTCATTATTACAAATGTTGACATCAGCACTATATTCTAGTAGCTTGCCCATACATTTCTTCTGGCTGTGTAGAAAATAAATACCAGCTATAAGAACAGCAAAACCATTCCTCTCCATAACCAAGCTCTCTGTCCTTACAAAAAGTAACTTTTTCAGAACACCAAATTCTTGATTATTTTCACTTTATTATGTATGTTGTTTATACTCTTTCTCCCAATAGGAGTTTCAAGGCACCTTACAATATGAATTAAACACGTGTACATGGACATTGCTAGAAGATCACGTTGTTTGGAGCACAATTAAACAGACAGGGATTACCACTAAATTTCCACAAAGAGAGCAAATGGAAATGTCAGCTCCCTACACAGATAATAAGAAAGCTGTCCATGGCAAAGAGCTCTGTATGTATCTCAGAGCTCCCAAGCTAATACCTGTGCCTTGGCTGAGGCAATAGAGAACATTATTAGCACTAAAAGCATTGTCTTCTCTTTCCCCAGTGCCTCCCAGTCTCACAGACTATTAGATGTACACTGACATGCATAAATAGGAAGCAGACCCATCAAGATCTGTGAAACAATTTGAAACAGGCTTCTTGCTTAGTTAACAGAGAACTAGATGTTGCCTTTGTAGACAGCCTGATGGTCCATCTTGCTTGGAAGGCAAGAGGTCAGTCTTTCCTGCTCAGATATTACAGAGATTTAATCTACATCATTTTGCAAACCAGGCAACTACTCTGCTCCTGAGCTATGTAGGCCCTTCCTCCCTTTGTCCTTTAAAAACAGCTGAGCACTCACTAATATTTCACTATAGTTTAGATTGGTTCTTTGTGGTTTTGCCTTTTACTCTTGTTTTGCAAAACTCATTGATACTCCCAATGGCTTTAAGAATTATTATTCAAAGGTACATGCAATGAAATTTTATAAACACTACTTCACACAAGTGATTATTGCACTGCAGAACATTTTAAAGTCCCTCTGATAAGCTATCACAAGTCAGAACTACAGTCCCATCATCAGTGGGAGGGAAAGGTGGGAGCCACCCAAAGGGGTCTTGTAGCACCACTGAGATTAACTGAGAGAAAGAAGTTGGTAGCATACGTTTTTGTAAACTAACTGCTTTACTTCTTCAGGTGCATGGAGTGAAATGCCTAGGAACAGATCTGCATGAGCAAACTTTATGTATAAACAGAAATAAAAATGCAAAGCTTTTGGGTATGGTAATAAGGTGACAAGTTCAGTTTTACCAATGCTTGTGGGGAGTCAGGGAAGAGGGGTAAAGACTGGAGAAAAGGTGTTGACTAAGCCAGCAGATAACCACATGAATGATGGAGAGTTATTTGGATGTAGTGTTATGCTGAATGACAACTGGAAGGGAGAAACAAATAGGAAAATGTGAAAAACTGGCCAAGAGACCCTGCCCGAGGCTGGGGTGTTAAGTAGTGTTATAATATGTGCAGTATGCCAGGAAACCATTGTTTCTGTTCAATCCATTATAAGTGGACAGGAGTTTGTAGATATATTCCAATTCTGCTGTTTCTGTTTCCACTCTTCCTTTGTAGTTCTTTTGTTCAAGGACAGCCATTAAGACGCTAGAGATGCTTAGGTACACTGAAGTTTTTTTCAACTTGTTTTTAATGTATTCACATTCCTAACATCTGATTCATGGAATCTGGCTGTAAGCAACAGCTTTAGTCATGTCTTTAATGACCATCTTTAAAACTTAACTCATCACCTCACTTATCATGCCCACAAATTTTTATTTCTGTTCCTACTCACATACAGTTTGCTCATAAAGGAATTCCATACATCTGAGGAAGCTTACACTATCAACTTCTTTCACTCAGTTAAGTCTTAAAGGTGTCTTTGTATAACAATATTCAACTCTAACATAGCTTTGTCTTTGACCATGACACTCAGCTATGAAATATTGTTTTTCTAAAATTTGCTTTTCCTATTTAATAAGAAAATGCTTTTCCAATGCTTTCTTTGAAAGTTTCTTTGAAACTTAAATGTAATATCCAACTATCCAAAACAACACATCACATAGTATTTAGTATGCTTTAATGCATGGCAGAAATCCGGCAAGAATGGCTATAGCATAACTTCTCTTCATTTAAACAGTTCTTCTGCAGGGCTTTCTGTGCACTTCTCAGAGACCGAAAGGCAGTGAAACAGCTATTCTCAATTAACTACTCAACCTGTTTAGCACTCAGGAAAGCTGATCAAATTATCCACATCTCTTACCCATTTCTAGCAGCCAAATGAAGTGGAGTGCATCCTGAAATATCTTGATAGTTTGGGTTTGCACCTTTCTTTAACAACAGAACTAGGCATTCAACCGATCCACAGCTGGGGAGGGGAAAGAAAAGGAGAAATGTATTAACAAAATGCTAAAAAGCCAGACTTGGAAAGGATAACTTCCAGAAGAAACAACACCAGAATGCTGGATCAAATTTGAAAATGTTAGTCTTTAGGAAGTATTTGGATTAAGCAGCCAATCAAAGTAGCATTTGCAGCAGCCAGTCAAAAATACTCCCCACCCCCCACACACACATACATACCCCCTTAACTGAAGGGTGTCAAGCCCATTTTCACCAAGGGTCAAATCAGCCTTATCGTTGCCTTCAATGAGCCAGTTGCAATTGTAAGACTAAATAAATGCAACAATGTTGCCCTGGCATTGAAATAACATGGTGGGCCGCATTTGGCCCATGGGCCTTGTGTTTGACATGTGTGCCTCAACTAAAATATGCAAAGTAAATTGGGAACCCCCCTCCTTTTCATTGTCAAAAACTTCACTTAAATTTGATGGTTTTACCTATTATATTGAATGTGATGGGTAGGAAAACTGTAAGATGACGCATTTGGGAAACTGTGGGATTTTCTGTGTTCCAAGACTTAAAACACAAGAATTGCCATCACAGAAAATCTGGAGCTTGGCCAGCGTGCCATTGCTCCACATCACATTCTGCAAAAAAACAAACAAACAAAAAAAAAGCCAAAAGCAAGCTGCTTCAACAAAAATATGGAAAATTAATACTAATCCATAAGATACTTCTAAAAGTTGACTTGTTGTCATATGCCTTCAAATTATTTCCAGCTTATGGTGAACCTTAGGCAACATATCGTTGTGTTTTCTTGACAAGATTTGTTGAAAGGAGAAACAGTTGTCTTACTTAGCTGCAATATGAAGCAAGCTCCTCTTCTCACATCCAAAGGCATAATTGACATCAAACTTTGAATTTGATAGTAACTCAGAAACAGATCTAAAACAAAGAAAAAATCAGATTAGCAAGAATGCTCTGCTTTCCATTACTCTGAAGAGTGGGAAGGTGCCTACTGCAAATGCCACACTGCTAGAGACAAGAACAAGATGTTCAACTTTTCAAAATGATTTTTCCTCAAGAGCCAGCTGAACTCGAATGGCTTTAGTAAGAATACTTTAAAGTTGAATGGATGGCATAAATGGACCACATAAACATAAGTTATACTCACATCATTGGGGAAATAAACAAATTCCTAAAGATACTTTGGAACTTGCCAGGTGAAATAGAGCACAGAACTTCTAACTGGAGAGTGAATGTCAATGGACATATGAATGCTTAAATTTCTTCTTCTATTATTGTAAAGTTAATTATTTTCCCCTATCCTCCAACAACAAAAGCAGCTATACCAAATGCAAATATTAGCTTTAAAATTAGGTAAGTTTCCAATGAGTTCAGTAGAATTTATTGAAGATGAAGTAATGTATCAGTTTAATGCAGATATTAACTTTAATTTTTATTTTAAAAAAACTAAATAGACACTGAACATTAAAAATAATCCTAAAAAAGCCATCAATCCTATGTCAGTACCAAGAGTCCAAAGCTATATTTCTATGTTTAGCTTATCATTCCTCTTCTATTCCTTCTCCTCAAGCAGCAGCTCCCTGGGAAAGTAGGTTGGGATGGGGGTTGGGCCAGGAGACATTAAAATATAGTTAACTAAGGATATGATGTAGAATATCAGCCATTATTTAGATTATGTATTCTGCAGATTCTGCAGCTTCAAGGGATGGGAGAGCAACTATCTGAGTTTTCAACCACAACCCTCTGACAAGTGGTGGTGGTGGGAGCAATTTGGAAATATTCAGAGCTTTTCTACTTCTGTGTTGTTTCTGTGCTTTTAACCCCTGTGAATGTAGAGGGCTGACAATAATGAAATAGTTTTTGCAGGTCTACAACAACAACAACAATTCTTTATTGATTAGTCAATTTTGACCATATGCAGGTCTAGACATAAAGACTCACCTATGTTGGTCAGCCATTACCATTGGCATTAAAGTGTAGAGAGCAGTTTCGTTATCTGTGAAGAAATTAGATTGTTCCACTATTAGAAGTAGAAACACAATAGAGCAGATCACTACAGAGGCCTTGTCAAGGGTGTTTGGGTTTTTTTGCATGTGAAAACAAGCTTTCTATTAATTCACCACTTCCAAACAGATTAATTTCAGAATTCCACACATTTAGTATTTTTAAATCAAAACAAACAAAGCACTTCTCTTGGTGCCATTTGATTCTGAGGTGAGAATCCTAACTACCAGAGAAACAACTATGAGATTTGGATCAATTGTAGGTGACTGTAAAAACTACCATAACAATTGTGGATCATATATTTAATGGACAAAAAATTGTTTGTTGGTTTTTTAAATATATATATATTTCTCAGAATAGGGCTCAGGGGAAGGCTGTGACATATTTCCCACTGAAAGGTCATAGTGATTGATAGCCCATTTTTAAATATGTTTGATAGCCGCACAGAATTTATTTATTTATTTATTTGCTTTATTTCTATACCGCATTTTTCAGCCCTTAACAGGCGACTCAATGCGGTTTCACACTATCAAACAGTGTCAGTGCAATTAAAACATAACAATGCAACAAACAGGATTAACAGCATCAATCCACAACAGTTAACAATCAACAAGACAGATCAACAAAACAGACATAACATAACGCCTCAGTTGAAATCAGATCCATTCTCATAATCCTTGTGCCATTCCTATGTTCCATTTACCGTCTTCCTATGATTGGTTGCACTGCTTAACCAAACGCTTGTTCATAAAGCCAGGTCTTAACCATTCTCCGAAACGTCAGCAGCGAAGGTGCCTGTCTGATGTCTGCCGGTAGGGCATTCCATAGCTGAGGGGCCACCACTGAGAAGGCCCTGTCTCTCGTCCCCGCCAAGCGTGCCTGTGACGCAGGCGGGATCGAGAGCAGGGCCTCCCCAGACGATCTTAATGTTCTGGTCGGTTCATAGGTGGAGATGCGTTCGGAGAGGTAAGCAGGGCCAGAACCGTTTAGGGCTTTATAGGCTAAAGCCAGCACCTTGAATTGTGCCCGGTAGCGGATTGGCAGCCAGTGGAGCTGGCTCAGCAGAGGAGTGGTATGCTCCCTGAGTGCCGCTCCCGTTAGCAACCTGGCTGCCGAGCGCTGGACCATCTGAAGCTTCCGGGCAGTCTTCAAGGGCAACCCCACGTAGAGCGTGTTGCAGTAATCAATCCGGGATGTAACCAGAGCGTGGACTACCGTGGCCAAGTCAGACTTCCCAAGGTACGGGCGCAATGGCGCACAAGTTTTAGTTGTGCAAATGCTCCCCTGGACACCGCCGAAACTTGGGGTTCCAAGCTTAGCGAAGAGTCCAGGATCACACCCAAGCTGCGAACCTGCGTCTTCAGGGGGAGTGTAACCCCGTCTAACACAGGCTGTAACCCTATACCCTGTTCGGCCTTTCGACTGACCAGGAGTGCCTCTGTCTTATCTGGATTCAGTTTCAATTTGTTAGCCCTCATCCAGTCCGACACAGCGGCCAAGCAGCGGTTCAGGACCTGAACAGCCTCCTTAGTAGTAGGTGGGAAGGAGTGACAGAGTTGGACGTCATCTGCGTACAGATAACACCGCACCCCGAAACTCCGGATGATCTCTCCCAACGGCTTCATGTAGATGTTAAATAACATGGGGGACAATATTGAGCCCTGCGGGACCCCACAAGACAATGGTTGTGAGGTAGAGCAGTTGTCCCCCAGCAACACCTTCTGAGTACGATCCTCTAGGAAGGACCTGAGCCACTGCAGAACAGTGCCACCAAGGCCCATTCCCGCGAGGCGTCTCAGAAGGATACCGTGACTTCAGCAGAATGACTTCAGCAGAATCCGGGACTATAGTTTGTGTTACTTAGCTGATATTGTGTACGTATATGGGCAATAAATGCTGATGACAAAGACTGAGAAATATTCCTGGTAAACTTCCTCTTTCAACACGCCATCACTTTATTACAGTATCATTACATCCCCAAGAAGTATGTGATATGTCACTCCCATATTCACTGACTCCCTGTGTCTACGGGTCAACCACAACTCAGGTAGGTAAACATACTTGGACATTATGCAAAACAGCAATTGCAAAGGAAGCTGCTGTGATCTTACTGTGGATCTACCATCCTGTTGCCTCACTACATCAGCCTTCTCCTATTTCAAGGGTCTCTTTTCTGAGCCCCTCCACTTACTGAAAATCCCCATTAGAAGAGGTTCACAATAGTTTAAGTTTTCTCAATAGTCACCCTGTTGAATACAGATGTTGTGCTAGGATACTCAGAGGGGAAATAGTACCCTATATACCCCCATCACAAGCTCTGTTGGTGGGAACGAGAGAACAGGTGTTCTCTGTAATTCCCCCCCCCTTTCTCTGGAACTCCCTCCCTAAAGAAATAAAAACAGCCCCTAACCTCTTCTCCTTTAAGAAGTTCTGAAAATGCACCTATGCACTTTAGCATATGAAGAGGACTATGACACTTTAACCCATTTGAATAATGGCTAATCCCACTTGCATTATATGGCTGCCATGATATATCTTAAATGAACACCAGTGATAGTCATTTTTATTGTAACTGTATCTTAATTTCTTTTATAGCGTATGTTATATATTTTTATTTTGATGCTTAATTCTTTATTGTAAGTCCACTGTTATTACTGTGCTTTACCAATGGAATATTTTTGGATGTGTTAGTACTCATCTGAGGCATTGAATGCTTGCCTTTTTTGTGTGTGAACTGCCCTGAGTCCCTTCAGGGAGAGAGGGCAGTCTAGAAATAAAGTTTATTATTATTATTATGTGATACATAACAAGATTAGTAAACAGCAAACAAGATCACTATGCTGGCTTTTGTATTTGATCACACGTCAGACACTTCCCAAGTGTCTAGAACTGTGTTATGTATGTGTGCAGATCTAAGCAAGATGGCCTTTTGCAGCTGGCAGATGGTAATTTTTTCAGTGCCAATTGTTTTTAAGTGCAGACCAAGGTCTTTAGGCACTGTAGTCAATGTGCCAATCACCACTGGGACCACCTTGACTGGCTTGTGCCAGAGTCTTTGCAGTTCTATCTTTAAATCCTCACATCACGTAAGCTTTTCCAGTTGCTTCTTGTCAATCCTGATGTCATTTGAGATTGCAACATCGACAATCCATACTTGGGTTTTTCCCCCCGCAATTGTGAGATCAGGAGTATTGTGCTTCAAAACTCTGTCAGTCTTAATTCTTATTCTTATTCTTATTATTATTATTATTATTATTGATAAGTCTGAAATTTTAGTAAAAAGGTCAACCAAAACAACCCTGGGTCAACTTGTCTATAAGTCATTGTGCATAGTGTAACTTAACTATTAACAACAACAAAAAAGGAGTCAGCCCTTCTCTGTATAGACTGGTGAAAGGAAAGAGTTTAGTCTGTGTTGGAAAAACATAAAAGAAGCACCAATCTCTTCTACTCTCTCTGCCATAGTACTGCTTCTGATTTTTTTTAATGCGTTGACAGGGACTAGACACAACTGGTATCCTGTGGAAGCATTGGTGCTTTCCTCTCTCCATGAAACAACCCTCAACGTATCCATGGCTCATATCAAAATCCATAAATTTGCCTCTGAAACATACCCTCAACTTATTCATAAGATCAACGTATAAATGAATATATATATATATATATATAGAGAGAGAGAGAGAGAGAGAGTATATGTTCCCTTAGTGAGAGTGGGGTCCCTTCCACACAGCTGAATCAAACCCCACATTATCTGCTTTGAACTGGAGCCCCAGGTGGCGCAGTGCGTTAATCTCCTGTGCCGGCAGGACTGAAGACTGACAGATCGCAGGTTCAAATCTGGAGAGAGCACAGATGAGCTCCCTCTATCAGCTCCAGCTCCCCACACGGGGACATGAGAGAAGCCACCCACAAGGATGGTAAACATCAAAAACATCTGGGCATCCCCTGGGCAACATCCTTGCAGACGGCCAATTCTCTCACACCAGAAGTGACATGCAGTTTTTCAAGTCGCTCCTGACACAACAAAAAAAAAACTGTTTTGAACTGGAACTCTCTGCCCCGGAGTGTAGTGAAGGCTCCTTCTTTGGAGGCTTTTAAACAGAGGCTGGATGGCCATCTGTCGGGGGTGCTTTCAATGAGATTCCTGCTTTTTGGCAGGGGGCTGGACTGGATGGCCCACGAGGTCTCTTCCAACTACATGGCAATGTTGACTCAGATAACCCACGAGGTCTTTCAACTCTAGGATTCTACATGGCAATGTGGACTCAAATAACCCGGTTGAAAGAAAATATTGATATTTTGGGTTATATGGCTGTGTGGAAGGGCCCTAAGCCTACACAATACACTGCTCTTCAAATCTGTAACTGGAGTAAACAATGAGTCTGGATATTCTCAAGCCCCCTTTTTTATTATTTCACTGACTTATGCTGCATTGGACTGTCAGTCAAAAGGTAGTATATAGTTATCTGATTCGGGGTGGCTTTACTGACTGACAGCTGCTCAAAGTGATGCACCCCTTGCCTATATAATAGGCCTGGGTAAACTTGGGCCCTCCGGGTGTTTTGGACTTCAACTCCCACCATTCCTAACAGCCTACTACAGTTCCCAGAAGCCCCCAGCCTGCATTCGCAGGCTGGGGGCTTCTGGGAACTGTAGTAGGCTGTTAGGAATGGTGGGAGTTGAAGTCCAAAACACCTGGAGGGCCCAACTTTGCCCAGGCTTGTTAGATGTAGCCAGAGTTCAAAGAAGCCTAACCTTCGGGCAGCTCGACGGTGCGGGCGCGGCGCAAGGAGCGTGTGAGGCGGTTGAGCTGCTCCATGGCTCTCTCCATCCTCCGCCGCCAGAGTGCGGGGCCCCGCCGAGGCACGCTCGCCGGCCGATGCGCATGCGCCCCGGAAGCGCCATAGAGCGTGTGGCTAGACCGGCGGCGGCGCTTTGGCTCCGGAGGCACTTCCGCCCTTGCTTTGCCCACAGTCCGCCCAAGATGATTCCATGAAGAGGGGGGAGACTCTGATGTTTCTCTAGCGCTGCTTCTACCCTTTGTAATTATTTTCTAATTTGATACCGCTTTCACTGCCAACTGAGATGGGATCCTGGGGCTTTGTAGTTTGGCAGAGAAGGGGGAAGACTTTGCAGAACTACAAATCCTAGGATTCAAGAATATTCGGCCAGGGATGTTAAAGCGGTGTCAAACTGCATTCATTTCGCGGTGTAGATGCCATCTATGCAACCTCAGCAAACATGTATGATAATTGCAGGATTCTCAATAACCCCAGGGGAAAAAAAACTTTTTAAAAGTCTAAAAAAATTACTTAAATTAGTTGTACTTTGCATTCTGGGCAGCAAATGTCAGAATATGTCAGAATTAGACTTAGGGCCCTTCCACACAGCCCTATATCCCAGAATATCAAGGCAGAAAATCCCACAATATCTGCTTTGAACTAGGTTATCTAAGTCAACACTCATATAATGTGGGATTTTCTGCCTTGATATTCTGGGTTATCTGGCTATGTGGAAGGGCCCTTAGCCTTCCCCTTTGCTTTGGCCTGCCTGCAAGGCTCAAGGGAAAGGACTCAGCCAAAGAAAGAGAAAATAAATAGAAATTCGACTATATTCTTGAGTCAGGATATTGGGTATGAAGTGAGAATCTTGATCTTGCCCCGACAGATATACCAATTCCCAGATTTTCCCATGGCAACTTGTTTTCTTTAGTTCTGGAGAGGGAGACGCCAAGCAATAGATTCAAATTTCAAGTTTATTTATTTTGTGTCAAAACTAATAAAATAGTTTATCTAAAACTGATAAAATAAAGGGATCACAAGCTGCTAGACAGTTTTAGACCAAAAATGGGCAATAGTGACTGCATTGTCTTTAGCTTTAAACAATTCTTCCTCTGTGCATGAGGCAGGGCATTGTGGGCAATTATACAGATCCTGAATTGTTTGTTCTGTTCCACAGTCGCACAAGGTGGAGGATTCTTGTAAGTCAGGCATGGGCAAACTTCAGCTCTCCAGTAATTTTGGATTACTGTCAGGAAGGCTGTAGGCTGCCAGGAATTGTGGGAGTTGAAGTCAAAAACGCCTGGAGGGCCGAAGTTTGCCCATGCCTCTTCTAAGTAGTGCCATTTTTGCCAGGTTGTCTTTTGATCTGCCAACTCTGCTTCAGAGTCTGTTCAGGGACTTCCAAGATGCCCATTCTTGGTTTGCCCCTGGAGGCAGACCTTCGTGAGGACCATCGAATTTGGACTTCCTTGTTTAGCTGCCCACAGGGATATTCTTGCTGTTGCTAGAGGAACATTAAGAGGAGTGGTGTTCTTATTAATATTTTCCTGGATTTAAATCTACAGGGAGGAGGCCGATAACTATATAGCTCGTGGCTTGCACAGTGTTCAACATCATTTCTCTCACAATTGGCAGCAACTTCCCATCACGCATCAGGAGGTCCATGCCATCTAGCTTATAGAGCCTATCAACAGGGGTAGGTTTAAGACATCCAGTGATTATTCTGCATGTCTCATTTAGTTCTATATTCATCTGCTTTGCGTGAATATATTTATTTGTTGCTTTACAAATTGCAGGTAAACGGAGCACACCTGGGAGTCTTTTATTTGTTGTTGACTTTATCTCAAGTGGTACTTGGATAGGGAGCAGCCAAGAAAAATCAAGTATTGTAGGCCATATTTGAGAGGAATTCAAAATTTTGAATTAACCATAGTCTTAGAGTTACCATAACTCGAGAAGTGACTTGAAGGAACATACACATACAGATATATAGCAAATAATGCTATAAAGATTACTTTTATAACTTTATAACGGCAAGAGGATTTTCCCATATCATTTATTTCTATAATGTCATGGGGGGGGGGGGCAAAAAGTATAGCACACTTCACATTTGTTTTTTAAATATGCTTTACAGTTATTTCAAATATTTAATTGACATGACCATGCCCACAGACTATGATCTATTTACTGTAGTTGTTTACTGAATATTCAAAGATTAGTATTGTGTTTGTGTGCGAGAGAGAGAAGAAAGTCCAAGGAATTCAATGGATGGCGGTCATCAAATGCTGGCAAAGCTATAATCTATGTTCTTGAGTCAGCATACACAAATTAGAATTCAATGGATAGGTTTTGTAGCTTTCTTCTTAAGCTGAATTTGTATGTAAGTCGAAACAGGTACATTTTAAAGTGTAACTCCAGCTACATAGGGCCCATCTTCACAATACCTATCTTTATCATATCAGAAGTGAACTGAGGGTACAGTTGTAATGTATTTACTGCACCTAAAACACAGGATTTAAATGGGCAAAAGCATCACTGGCCACCACAGAAACCTTAGGTTCAATGCTGAGTCCAGGAGTGCACCAAATTTTGTCTTCCCAGAGACTGAATCCTGGTTTCCCGATCTGTCTTTCAACTGATCAGGAGCCCCTTTGTCACAAAAACTAGCTTTGAAAGGCAGAATCTCATAGAAACACACTCTGAACAAATCTTGCTGATGAACTCCATTATAGGTTTGCCTTTGGCTTGTTATAAATCAGAAACAAATTGAGGGAACACAACAAGAAGACTTTTTAAATGTGTTTTTCCAAAGATTGCTATTTCACAACATGCTAATAAAGTTTTGCCATTTTAAAAAATCACAAACCCTTTTATAATGGAACAAGAAGCAATCACTCTACATCATTATATATGTGAATATGCTTTGTTACATACACTTTGAAAATTGAGCTTTTGCAGAATTAATTTTTATTTTAGATGAGCTTTCTTTCTCTTTGAAATCTGCCTTTAATCTTGCAGTCAATGATATTGACCATTTGAAAATGAAAGTTCAGCTCTTTTGATTTTGTTCAGCCTACCTAAAAATCAATTGCCCTGAAATACAATCAATGAAATTTCACTCTGATGTCAGTGGGACCTTTCTACACAATTAACTATTTCTCTGGACTGTGTTCATGTCAATCGGTATCACTAATTGCAAATTTGATCTTGAGTCAGCATATACAAATGGGAATTCAATGGATGGGTTCTGTAGCTTCCTTCTGAAACTGAATTTGCATGTAAGTCAGAACAGGTATATTAATTGCATTGCAGAACTCCAATAATCAATTCTTAAATTCAAGAAAAGTCACTTCACAGCCAAGAGAACTGACCCGAAAGTGCATTTGCCGTGGAGCCTTTAGAATGATAGTGCAACGCCTTTTCATTTCTCCAACTGTTACAAATATATAACTGTTAGGTTTATTACAAAATGTAGGCATAGCATATCCTATTAAACAAACAAGCAACCTTTCTCAGAGACTCATTAAACTCTCAGTATTCTTAACAATACTATAAAACAATAAAGATCAATGTAGCAACTTTATAACCAGATTAATTACATTATAAGCTTTCATGTATTACATACATTGTTACCTGAAAGTAGTACGATTTTAGAGACATACAACACAGAGAGCGAGACATCATTAGGGGTGGGATGTGAATTGAGAGTGAAATTCTATATAGAAAATATTGGCAGTAACAATTATATTATTAATACCAGCTATTAATAGAACAATGAGCATTAACACATATCTCCCCTGGCATATTTTGATTGACATAGCATGTGAGACTGGAACTCAGGTGAAAAAATTATTAATTATACGTTGAACCTTTGTATTCAATTGAAAGATATCAGAGAAGAAAAAATGCCAACCCATTTCTGGGCACAATTCAAAGTGCTGGTTTTGACCTACAGCTCTGGTCCAGGTTATTTGAAGGATCGTATCTCTGATTTGGTGGGAATATGGGAGAGGGCCTTTTCAGACCAAAATGGTCTCATCCCTGCTGGTTTTTTGCAAGCAGGTCAAGATCTTTCTGTGCCATTAAGCATTTGAGGAAGGATGAGGGGCACATTGCTGGGAGGTTGTGGGTAGGTTTCTGTGGTGATTGGGAATTTAAAATATAATTTTAACTCTTTATTACATCTTAATGCATTTTAAGTTTATACCCACACAATACCATTTAATTGGTTTTTTAAAACGTATTCACTCTGCTATAACCTGTGACCAAATTGTGTGATCGTTAGCTGCCTTGAGTCCCCACGAGGAGAAAAAAGCGGCATAAATAAAGTCAATAAATAAATAAATGCATTCACAAAGTTAACAGCAGAATCCTTCCTGCTCTTAATGAAGCAAATTCCTGCAGCAAAAGGACACCTCAGGGTGATACTTTTATCATGAAGGGAGGCCAAATCCACTTCACGGCATTTGCATGAGCCACAGACTGATGCAGGCCAAGGCCAGTTAACACAGCCTTGAACCATGTTAACAGGTTGCTCCAATTCTTCCCCGAAAATCCAGAGTAATGTAAACTACAACTTTGGGACTATATAAGCAGCTGTGCCGCTTCCTATTCCAGAAGTGTCCATGGCTGTTTACACCACCATCCCACAGGCAATGGCACCTACTTTGCTCCTTTAATCTGTCAGTCATCCATTGCCTGGAGTGATGTCTGCCAGTAGGTCATAGCAAGAGAGGGGGAGAGAGATGAGAAATTACCCCCTCTTTTTCCCTTTCCCTCCTCTGATCACCCTTGCACCATGGTCGATTCCACTCAAGGTGATGGTGACCAACACTAGCCACATTGTGCTCACTGGCCAATGTGATGAGAAGAGGGGAGATATTGTGCCATCCCATGTCCCAGGGACCACTAAACTCAGAGAATATGGCCTGGCTGTGTAAACAGTTGTGGCTTATTCTGTCTCAGAAGTGGCCCAACTGCTTACATGGGCCCAAAGTCATTGGTTGCTCAGTTTTTGAAGAAAACTGTGTAGCAACCTTTGACTTTGGTTTTCATAGTTTAAGGATGTAGTAAATGGTCTTGGTCTGCATTGATCCA